TTCACGAGCTCGCTCTAGTTCAGCAATACTCAGCGGATGTTCCAGAATTGTTCTCAACAGCTTTGCAAAGAAAGGTATATATGACATAAAACCAATGAAGTCGATAAAACCTGGAGAAAATCGAAAAGGACACAAATAAGTTGTCTTTTCTGGTGAACATCATTGGTACAAATTAGAGACCTTTAGATTCTAGGACGAGAACGACTAGGAGTACGAGATTTGACTGAATTTTTTTTTTGCGTATTCTTAAGTATAGACACCCCGGAAAGCTTCAGTGCACTTCTTCTTCGCCAAACGATTAGCACTGTTATCTTTACTGAAGGAGCTATGACCGCAATCATGTTTTCCCGCCAAAAATGACCCTGGTTCACGCGCGTGCACTACTTAGGTTAGTATTGAGAACATCTCGGACTCGTAGTCGTAATCGTCTCACATTCTTTAGATGGCTTTCACAGTGACGTCATCAAATTGTAAAGTCAAAATAGCCAGATTTTACGTATTCTTATTTACACTACGTTGAAGATAAACAAAAAGTGAATCTTTTTACAGGTTTTCATTCCCGTAGCATGTTTCATTTCGAAAATACAGTAATTTGAACTTCCGAGTTTTCACAGTGCGTGACACCAAAATAGGAATGCTGTCTCGTTGAAAAAAAAGTATCTCCTCTTGATTTTCAGCAGTATAACCATTCCAAGTATTAGAAGATATTTTTTGCGCACGTATGCTAGTTCTCGAGTGAAAAGAAGGAACTTTTATAGAAAAAGTGTACTCCAGATGTTTTTGTTGATTTTCGGCGGCCATATTGGTGTACCAAAACTGTGCACCAATATGGCGTCTCCATACAAAGCTCTACAAAGGTGCGTGAAACGTTTCGGCAAATAACTCGGAGACTGTGGGCCACAAAGACCTGAGACTTGGACAAATTGTTTAAAAATTAGTCTTTTATAACATTTCATTTTCTTGGCTTCTTCCACTGGACGGTTTCCAATTAATTTTTTTGTTGCGTGACAGTGAAAACGATCTATTAAAAACAACAACAGAAACAGTAGTTAGCGGTGACGCCCGACGGTGTTGCCGCGTCATGTTAACGAAAGCAGAGATTACGATCCAGTCATTGATCCTTTCACTCCAAATAGTGGCCAACGAACAAATTCACCAGTACCAAAAAAAAACACAACACAGATCCTCGATCTGCATAATTCTCCATAGCCGGTATGATACTTTATAAAATAATTGCTTAATGTATGATAAGAAACTGCAACGATTAGACCCACCAAACTCATCACGTGCTCCTTCAAGCACCTCCTTGGCTGTCTGAAGGTCCGCCCCTATTTCCGTTTCCATGGCAGCGGACACCATCACTAGCAACTCTCCAGCGTCTAGTCTGTTGTCATCATCTTCATCGATTGTTTTGAACATTTCCTTTACAAAAGCAGTATTGATAGGGAACAACATATTAATTACCTCTACAAACGAGAACTTTAACTGTTAAGAATAAGAAGTAATCATATTGATTTTATTGTGTAAAAAGTATTGCCCAAGAGGTTTTATATGGAAGTTTGGCACACTAGTCACTAATTGGGACGGAAAAAACAAACAAACAAACAAACAAACAAAACAAAGAAGAAATAAAGAAAAGAAAATTCCACTGAGTTTTTAATGGCCTCGCAATTCATATTTTCTACATCTATTTTTCCAGCCCATAATATTCTACTCTCTATTTTCGATATATCCATGTTATTCACAGTCTCTGAAAGAGTTTTTCAATAGATTAGATGGTATCAATCAACTACAAAACGTTTCTTCAGGATGAAGGTTTTTTTAACCATGTTCACGAAAAAATAAAAATAAACAATTATTATTATAATAATGCCTACCTTTTCACTGACTGTACGAGAAGAGAGATCTTCAATCTGTGGAGTTTCATTTTTGTCTAATATACGACCGTCTTAAAAATAGAAACCTTTTGATGTCTACCACATGCACTTTACCTTGAAAATGACAATATGCTGCGATAAATTTTCCAGGTCTAAGGCTAAAGATGCATCTTCGGATTCAGTTCTGACAAACAATTAAAAAAAAGAATGAATGAAAGAGAGATAAACCAATAGCCCTAGTTAATCATTTCACGCGGCAAGAAAAACTTCAAATTTCTTACTTAGTTCCAGAAATCTGATCATTGAGAGCACAAATGGCGGTAAATTCTCTTTTATCGACGGTGTGATCTTTGTTTAAGTCAAACACCTAAAAGTGAAAAAAAGAAAAGTACGAGAAAGTTTAAACGCGAAACCTAACAATGACTCAAAAGTTAGAATTACAGAAGCCTGTTCACAGACATTTATTTTGTTTTTCTCGAGGAAATTGTCAAGCACGAGCGATGTGAGTGATAGACTGTTCGTTTAACGGTTGCTTATATAAGGGAGTCTAGCCCAACCCAGGTCAAAGAATGACTTGACATTTGTTTAAAACTTTGATTACATATAATTCTGAAGGACAAGGTTAAAGGTACTTCCTTTTTTACCTGTACAAAATGTTTAATATCGTGTCTAGAAACAGAAGGCTGCATCCTTAGCTTGAGTTCTTCTAGAGTTACACTGCCATTTTTATCTTTATCCACTTCATCAAAAAGAAGGCCAAACACATGTCTCTGTTGTTCGTTGATGATTCCGTAACGCGTATCCTGGAGGAAAATAAAATGCTCATTTAAGTTCGAATCCCACGCTAGCCCTACATAGCCTGCGCCAAAGACGAAACTAAACTCTGGTTACGTCCGTCTGCAAACCAGCGCCGAAATCCTTGTGGAGGACCCCTGACTCCAAAAGTGTACTGGGATTAGAGTAAGCGCCATGACTGCCTTGTTGAAAAAGTTATTGTCGATTTGCCAATCAGGTTGAAGGGAAATTCAAATCGCTCTTCCATTGCAGGGGCGGATCCAGAAATTTTTGATGGGGGGGGGAAGGTCCAAACTTTGGTTCACAAAGGACCGTTGAACTTTTTTGTGGCAAATTACTTCTCACACAGATGGCCACGTGTTTCTCAAGCTGTGAACGCCGGTCGCCGGTGGCGCGGAGGCGAACAGATCATTCGAGGGTACCCAAAAACAATGACATTTTTGAATATCCCTGGAATTTAGTTTAGTGGCAAAATGCAAAGCGCATCTCATAAAAAAAATCAGCCAGTTAAAAAGTGATATACGATCCTGTCGATGTAAGAATTTCAGTCTCAAACAAGCGTCAGATCTTGGGGGAGGGAGGCGCACCCTTCCCCTGGATCCGCCACTGCGTTGAGGTCCAGAACAAGGATATCGGCGCTTCTTTGCAGACGTTACTAACCAGTCTTACATCAAATCTGCGATACAGGCTAACTCGTGCGAGCCTAAAGAGTCAGGTTGTATATAAAGGAAAAATGGTTAACAAAAAAGTAATAAATGAAAGTTGAAAGGACGTATGACTACGACTTACAGGCGTCTGAAGTTTGTCGTCTTCCGCTTCCTTTCCTTCAGTGATCTCTGTCAAAAATGTTCTGCCAACGGGATAAACAAAAATAAATGTATTTATCGTGGGACATGTAACCCTTTCTTTGGGGTGTTACATGGTATACTGTTATAATTGCTTCATTAGCGGTAGGCTATATATTTGAGTTGTTGTCATTTATATTCATTCGCGTCTTACGACCGTCCCTACTACCTCATAATTAAATACCCAGTGACTAGGGGTTATCAGTTTCTCTCAGACGTAGTTTTTGCATGCTGCTGTCAATTAAAGGTTTAGCACCTTTACGGTATCATTGTTATACGAGCACAGTTTAGATCATTTTGTAGGGTGGTTTTCTTGTTGTATTTTTCACATTTCCGAGTTTTCATTCTGTTTGTTGTATCATTCCCATCCATTTTGCTGATGAAGGCATAATAGGGACTTTAAGATCCAATGACGCGGACGACAACGAGAACGTCAAAAAAAAACAATTGGTTTAATTAGCAAAACAACAACTTCGCTCTTGCATCACACTTTTTTGTACATTTCTTTCCCGTTTTTGCACGACTTACGACTTGAAAATGCCTAATTTCGCGTTTTTTGAGGACGTAAACAACCAACGACGAAATTTTATTTCTCTTTCTGAGCTTGAATTTGGTCCCTTGAAATTCAGCCTCAGGAGGGTTCGCCTACAATTGACAAAGTAAGTGGGTAGGAATAATCGCTATGAAGACTCAAAGAACGCAAATTCACTTTTTAAGCGACGTTTTTGTCGCCGTCGCGTCGTTGGATCTTAAAGTCCCTAATAAAGAGGGTCGCACACGCCTCGTGTTGACACACCCCAATAGAGAGGATAAGTCGTTACGTCACGTTTCCATGGTAGCAAAATTTTTGGATGACAACAAACCGAAAAAGTCACTTAAAAGTCTATTCGCACTATTTCAAACTTCACCGATCTTAATCAATTTCATTTAACTTGGCAAATCTTGGAGAAATTTTCTTTGGGACCATATCTAACGTTATCTAAGTTAAGAAAATGAAAGGGACAATTTTTGTGCTGTGTTCACCTACTCCATAAAGCGGGCTCGTAAAATTAGGAAGTTTCATGTCGTAGTGGTGCAACGACGGCAAAGAAATGTAGAAAATGGCGGGATGCACGTGCAAAGTTGTTGTTTGTTAATATAAACATATCATTCTCTGCCGAACTCCTTGCCGTCGTCGCCGTTGGTTTTGTTGTCATCCAGAAATAGTGCTACCATGGTAACGTGACATTACACTTCTCTCTATTGTGGCTCCTTATTACATGATAAATGTTTTATATTCGTTTGAGCGGGGTAGCGAATTAGAATATAAATGAGAAAAGGTCGGGACATGCATGTGATCCAGAGCAGAGCCTAATAACTAACACATCCGACTTATTCCAAGTCCCTCCTAAGACAGACGTTGCATCAATGGAGAAGAGGCCTCCTTTTCTCTCCTCGTGCGCGCGCGCCCTCGAAATTTCTCCCTTCACCTGGCGCCAATTCCAGTATTAATCCCTTGCGATCTTCATTGCCTTCCCCGGGCGACCCTAAAGGCTTTTGTGGACTGATGCAGGATGGTTTATTTCCCAACTGGAAGTTCGGATTACCACTTTGTATCCTAGTTCTTAATGGAGAACTGATATCATTGTCGTTTCTAAATTAAATAAGCCCCCCCCCCCAAAAAATCTCAAAAAATATTGCTCCCCCCACCCCTCTATCAAAGGGGCTTGAAATAAATAAACTCCGGGCGGGCTTAAAAGAGGATTTACCGTCACAAAAAAGGGATTCAGTGGTAACAATCAACGGAGACCGATACTTACACAGGAAACCTAAGGGAGCGACACAAGTGCATGTTAACCACAAGGGAAACATTTGTATGCCCCACTGTCTCTACACTGTTCAAAGTCCCCAATATTTCCGTAAGATCGTCGAGATGGAGCTTACAGGAGCCATCTTGGTTTCTAGTTGGGGGATGAGTGTCAAATCTACTTAAAGGGCGGGGGACTGTTTGCCTCTCTCCCTCTACCACTAAAAACCCCCGACGCCCGTCCTCTACGTACATTTGAAATTAAGATGGCCGCCCGTAAAGCAAATCGTTCGATCTTGACGATCTCAAGGAAAAATAGGTGACTGTGAAAAGTCTACACTGTCTTTCATTCATACAACGGCATAGTTCCTGATTACTTACGACGAAAATTTTCCTCCTTTCTTCTTTGAGACGTTTGTGTTAGTTGACATAAAAATCCTGAGGAAAATAAAGTCAAAGAATCATAAGTACCAAAAGAGAGCAAGAAAAACAAACAAACAAAAAACCTACTACACGCGCCGCAAAACAGAAGGTTAAGTGACTAGACGCGTTTTATTTGATGTCCAAATTTGTCGAAATAGGTGTACTAGACTCGGTTGCGCCAATGTTCTCTTGTTTTAACCACTTCTTGGTAGGTCTAGATATAACAAATAAAACACCTCTTCTCTCATAATTAAAAGTAGAGCCCGAATTATACCAGCATGTACCTGTTTGGTGGAGGTTTCCCCGGCTGATATCTGGTATCAACCTCTTCTCTTTTTATTCCGAGCCACTCATCTAAATATTTATTTCTTTTCTCTTCTTTTGGAGCACTTGAATCACCAGCATCATCTTTCGTCGCTTCTTCATCCTCTTGCCCTTTCCTTGCAATTTTTCTTTTGTCCTTACTCTTTTTCTGATTGTCAGGCGTCTTTTCTTCCTGATCTTTGAATCGTATTTTCCCTTTTTTAACCCCTTTGGCGGAAGGAATTCCATTCTTTTTCACAGACTGTGTCTTTTTATCAGTGCCTTCTATGCTGTCCTTGTTTTCGAAATCGGGGGAATCGCCATCTTCAACGCCATTTTGAGATACTCTCTGATTGAGTATAGCGGCTTTGCGATCCATGAATTCCTTCCGTCTTCCTTTGATTGACACGCTGTCAAACTCGTCAACTGAACTGATATCCGACTCTTCTTCCGCCCATTTTCCATCAGTTTCGGCGCTTTCCAAATCAGTAGCAGAAGAAAATGCCTGTATGCAAAGACAAAAACAAAAACAAAAAAAAACCTAGAAACTTTAGGGACAACGAGCAGCAACAGTTTGAACAAGAACAATTTCAAGAGAGGGTAAGAGATGACTAGCTGGGAAGGTTGCTGTTTGTGATAGCTGTTTTTTCCCCGTGCTTTGATTCTAGATAGGCCAGAAAAAAAAACAAAACAAAGCAAATCCCTTGCACTCCCTTGCGTATAAAATGATGATATCAAGATTTTATATGCATGCACGATGAAAACAAACAAACAAACAAACACTTGAAAGAACAGCTAGAACGAAAACGTCCCTACGAATTTGGCTTTTAGACGGTCACAGGCTATAACAAATTAGAACTCAATCGCACAAAAGAAAGACCGCTGAAGCATGCCTCGGTGGGGTCATCAACTATTTGCAATCTATACAAAAAATTGGACATAACGGAAAAATTGAAGCGCCACGACGAAGAAAGAATTAAGGTCTCAGATAAACATTCTTTCAGTAACAACACAAGAGGATACTACGAAATGATAACTGCAATTGCAGAAACGTTTAGGAAGAAGGCTTACCGCGGAGCTGGGTGCCCTAATTCCTGGCACAGGGGTACTAAGCTGACCACTTGGACTGTCCCGAGGATTTCTTGAAGCAAATCTGTAAGTAACCGTTCCATTAAATATCACTCAAACACACTGGGTCTCTTATGTAACTAAATTAAGTACTTATTTGTCATTGTCACTTCAATCTGTGTCAAATATAAAACGGAACTGAGTGAAATAAATCTTCTTGTCCTCTTGTCTATCTAAACGAAGAATTCATTGGACTTCCAGATTTCTTCTCAGGTGGGTTATTTTACAGACTGCGAGTAGCCACTTATTTTCTTTTGAGTCACAGTAGCTCGAGAGCCGGCACGCGTGAGAGGAAGTCTAAGCAGCGAAGCCGCCAGAAACGAGGACGGAAACCTTCTCTCCGCCTCAATCTCCCGTCTTTTTCACCACTAATTTGCATAATTTTAATTTTGCGGCGGGCAGTTCTGAGGAAAGAAGGACGACCGTTCGTGGTGTAGCCATTTAAGAAGAAAAAAGGTTATCCAGTCTAACCTAGTGCTTTCATAAAACTGTTCAAGCTTGTTTGCGATAAGTGTTAGGCAAATTGAAAATGGCTTAGAGCGCCGTTTTGTTTGCATGCAGAGCGAAAGACCTGACTAATAAAGGAGATGTGTTACGGCTGCTGTCTACAAGTTCACTTTGTTGACATTGCCGATTACGTGCCCTCATTTGTTTTGTGTGTACTGGCAAGAATTTTTTTTGGAAATCTTTACCTCCGCAACAGAATTTTGTAGCCGCAACAAGTCAAAACAAATCAATGAGAATTTGGCCGCGCAAACAAGAGCGGTGCCTGCTTTAGAGAGATTGCTAATTAAAGGGAAACGCGCGTTGAGCTTTATGTTCTGCAATATTGATCATAACTTTTATTATATGTGGTGGCTCCTAAAGGAACCGTAGGTTTTGGCGGTAAACTCACGAAGTAAGTTTACTTGCTGCTGGTGTACTTGGTCACAGCCTTCGTTCCTTCACTGACAGCGTGTTTGGCCAGTTCACCGGGCAGAAGCAGCCTGATGGCGGTTTGGATCTCGCGGGAGCTGATGGTTGATTTCTTGTTGTAGTGGGCAAGGCGGGAAGCTTCGGTGGCGATGCGCTCGAAGATGTCGTTGACGAACGAGTTCATGATGCCCATGGCTTTGCTGGAGATACCAGTGTCAGGGTGAACTTGCTTCAACACCTTGTAGATGTAGATAGCATAGCTTTCCTTTCTCTTTCCTCTTCTCTTCTTCTTTCCATCAGATGAGGCCTTTGCCTTTCCGGCTCTCTTCTCGCCTTTCTTACCTGCAACTTTGGGTGCCATATCTGTATTTCAATATGGTTTAGAAATGCCTGAGTACTCTATGCACTTGATATTTATAACAGAATAGGGTAAGGATCGATTAACATACGGATCGAAAATCAAGTTATTTGATTGGCTAAAAACACGAATTCTTTTACACTTAGCCACGTGTTGCAATGTCACATGAAAACAAAGCTTCTTTGAAATATAAACAGAGAGCCTTGATTGGTGCCTTTCGATCCTATAGACTTTGAAATAATCTACAAATATTGCTTTCTGCCAAAATTTGAACTTTCACTTCACTAGAAGGCTTCTGTTAACTTTGAAAACATGTCTGGTCGCGGTAAAGGAAAGGCAAAGGGCACCAAGTCCAAGAGCCGATCATCCCGAGCAGGGCTTCAGTTCCCTGTTGGTCGTATCCACCGTCTTCTTCGGAAAGGCAACTATGCTGAGCGTGTTGGTGCTGGTGCTCCAGTGTACCTGGCTGCTGTGCTTGAGTATTTGAGCGCTGAGATCCTTGAGTTGGCTGGAAACGCTGCTCGTGACAACAAGAAGACAAGAATCATTCCCCGTCACCTTCAGCTGGCCGTCCGAAATGACGAAGAGTTGAACAAACTGCTCGCCGGTGTGACTATCGCGCAGGGTGGTGTTCTTCCCAATATCCAGGCTGTACTTCTTCCCAAGAAAACCGAGAAGAAACAGAAAGCTTAATTCAGCTTTCATTCACACAAACGGCTCCTTTAGGAGCCAACAAATGCTACAAAAGTCATGACCAATAACTCGCTTTGAAGTCTCAACTACCAAAGAGTACTGCAAGTAGTTAAAACAACGCGGAAAGATAGATTTTCTCGGTAAATTGATCTTTCCAAATAAATGTTTTATCTCTAAACATGCACTAAGATAAGATAATTTACATCCAGTTTCAGTGAGTTAGCACTCCAGAGTATTCTTTAAGCTTCATCTCTACTTAACTGTCAAAGCGTACGCGCTTTCTCGTGCGTAACCTGCGTCAATTTGATTATACCATTCGAAAGCCAACATAACTATTTAAATGTAAATTTTAAGAACACTCTTGAATGGAGCGCAAAATTTAACCGCATCTAAATGAGTGCAGTTTTAACGTTAAGCACGAAGTAACTGTTTTAATAGTTTCCGATAATGAGATAGCATGAAGAATATTGCAAAGGTAACTTTTTACAAACGTGCGCAGCCATCCATACATAAGTAGCCAACCAACCAACCCCCTAGTTACTCACTGAAGTGGTTTGTAACAGACGACTTAACATTCAGTGAATCAAACTGTGGCGGCGTTTAGTGGTTACTACAAACGGTTTTGCCTCCTACTGCTTTCTTGCTCTATCTCTGCCTTTCATACACCCTGCAAATAGATCAATTAGCCCTTCGATTTTTGTAGACAAATACAAGAGAACAAGTTGAGTCGCTCGACTGAGGTACCTTACTCTTATTTTGGAAAGATTGAAGTGTCTCTACTTAGATGACATTCTTCTAAAAGATGCGAATCAATGCGAATGAGCGGCGTAAAAACTAATTAGCATAAAATAAAGCTAACATAACTATGCTTCGCTCAGTGCCTTATTTCCCACCATTTTGACTTTGAATAAAACCTTTGCTTAAAGATATCGCTTTGTACCTCAAAGTACCACAAGGCACAATAAACGAAACTGGTTTCTAAGAAGTTGACAGACATAAATGTCGGCAAACTTTCCAGTGAATTACGCTTACTAGAACGCGGCACGTGACTAAAAGTACGGATTACCAAAGGAACAAGTTATCATTAGGCTGCATTTTTATTTCTAGGATTAAACACTGTATCTTTCATAGAGCTTTGTATTAACAGATCTGGTGTGCGAGCTCTCTGGCCGATGCGTTCCCCCGACTTGTTCTTTAGTGACGAGTCACTCTTGAACGACCACCGAACTATTCACCGTGAAATCTAAGGAACGCTTTTGAAGTAGGCGTCTGCATGAAATAGCGACATAATCGATACGCGCGGAGGCCGTTAGTTCTTAGTATATACAGTAAACCTTTTGAGTCATTAACATCGGATTACACAAGCGCGCGCAACCAGGGCTGAAATTTGAAACAGTTTTCAAAACTTTGCTCACTACCACCTTCATGACTTTGATTCCTTTCGCGTCGAAAAAGTCTTATGTTTTGGTGGGTCAAATAGTAGGAGCGGCCGTTGGTGGTTACTTCAAATAGTTCTGCCGTCTACATGTACCGTAGAAGCGCTACGGAAACCCTTCCTTTCAATACGAACTCAGAGTAGGAAAAAAGAGTTAAGTACTGTACTGGAGCATTGGTTACGACTTTCATAGGATATGGTGGCTCCTAAAGGAGCCGTTGGTTTGTGTAGACAGTGGAATCTAACCACCAAATCCGTAAAGAGTACGTCCCTGGCGTTTAAGGGCGTATACTACATCCATGGCTGTCACGGTCTTTCTCTTTGCGTGCTCGGTGTACGTCACGGCATCACGGATCACGTTCTCAAGGAAAACTTTGAGAACACCTCGGGTTTCTTCGTAGATCAGGCCAGAGATTCGCTTGACACCGCCACGACGAGCAAGACGACGGATGGCTGGCTTGGTGATGCCTTGGATGTTATCACGAAGGATTTTTCGGTGACGCTTGGCGCCTCCTTTTCCTAGACCTTTGCCTCCTTTACCGCGACCGGACATGTTGTAGCTCTCTAACTAAAATGATATCCAAAAAGATGTTCTCCCTGGCTTATATACCAAAAAAGTGGACCTCTCCGAAAACTTAGTAATATTTTTATTGGTCAGATTAAAACAAAAGTAAAGCAAGTCCAAAGAGCAATTATACACACACACACACACATGTAATTTATGCGCATAATCAGTTCAACAAAGTGAGCTTCGTATGTTCATGGCACAATATCCACAGAAGTATAATTCATTTAGTCAAAAAGAAAAGGCGTTTAAGCACCAATTACTTATTGCTTTTGCGATGGTTATATGTATTTTCTAAGGCGAAACGTCTTGGAAAAACAACTCGAGATAGCGTAAAGTTTGTTGGGATCCAACTCCGTCGGCATGAACCGTTGATACTTTCTTCAAAACATTACAAAGGATTTTTTCGCCAATCAGAAAGGATATTTTTCGACCAATCAGAATGTAGCCCGCCATGTATAAAACTCTAAAATTATAATGGAATAAACTAATTTCTTGATCATTTTATCCTCAACGATCTTCTTGCAACCAAAAACATGGCTCGTACAAAGCAAACTGCTCGTAAATCAACCGGTGGAAAAGCGCCACGCAAACAGCTCGCCACAAAGGCAGCTCGTAAGAGCGCTCCTGCCACGGGTGGCGTTAAGAAACCACATCGTTACAGGCCTGGTACGGTCGCTCTTCGTGAGATTCGTCGCTATCAGAAATCTACCGAGCTGCTGATCCGCAAGCTGCCCTTCCAGCGTCTTGTGCGAGAAATCGCTCAGGACTTCAAGACCGATCTGCGTTTCCAGAGCTCTGCTGTGATGGCTCTTCAAGAGGCTAGCGAAGCTTACCTTGTTGGTCTGTTTGAAGACACCAACCTGTGCGCCATCCACGCTAAGCGCGTCACCATCATGCCCAAGGACATTCAGTTGGCCCGACGAATCCGTGGAGAACGAGCATAAGCGGATAGTATCTCAACAAATCAAACGGCTCTTTTAGGAGCCACCACATTTGTAAACGCAATGACCTCAAGTGTTATTATTTTGTCAATAGTCCAAGTTTCGTAGTCGGCTTATAGAACGAGAAATGTTCACGCCATATGTTTTTCTTGTTCATGCGCTAGATACTTCAAGTGAACCAAATTTTTTGAGCAGTTTCAAAGCTTCAGTTCGTATCGAAACGACCGGTTTCCCTTTAGACTTATACTTAAACGTGTCGCAAAACTTTTAATGATAATATATTATTATCGTAGTATCTGAGTACCCTCTACGTTTTATAGATTTTCAATGGCACTGTTAACTATAGGCCGGCTCTTAGCCAATGAGCCGAAAGAGAATAGCGTACGTAGCACATGGTAGCAGGCGCTTGGATTATGCGAGAAAGAACGGGGCTCGCAACGGAGACAAGCGAGGGGAGATGGAGCGCCTGCCCGAGAGGCCCAATACGAAAACTAGGGTTTGGATACAAGGAACAGGCGACATACCGAGCCATGATGCTTTCCGCAACGAGTTGTTGCTGTGTTTCTTTTGTAAGAAAAGCGAGTGTCGGAAGCAGTGTACCGTAAGTGAATTCTTGCAGGTACAAACAGACCCTAAAATATTCCATTGGAATGATGACATTCTTACGTTGAAAAAAGTAAAAACAAACAAAGACAAAAAAGAAAAAGAAAATCATTACTTTGTGTCTTTGGCAGCCTTGTAATCCGACAGTTGCTTTTGTTGTGAAAGAAGCCTCAGCTGCAACAGGTCTGTGTTGTCTACATCATACCTACCAATCAAATTACAAATTGTAGATACTGAAACAAATTGCTAAGATACAGTTAATGGTTAAGGGCGCACAGGATCCAGTAGGAAGATTTAGCAAAGACTACGCGACGACGCAGTGAAGATAACAAGCCTTTTCTATTTTTTTTTCCGACGGGGATGCGTGAGAGTCGGTGGTCGGACAAATGGAACATAACTTTTAGAAATTCACTTGGCAGAGCGGCAAATAAAACACCCGAAGTCGTGTTCAGTCCTTTTCGCGGCCCTTTGCGTTCTTATTGGACATTGCGTTGTCTTAGCTTAATCTGCCTAATGAGGCCCACTCGGTGAATTAAGTACATGAAAAGTTCGGCGTCTGAATCAATTAGAAACGCCTATTTCAATTTGGAACGGCTCAGCCGTTCTTCACGCCTAGCCGAGCCGGGAAGTTTCGACTGTGGAACGACTTTGAAACGGCTTTCATTCTCCCTATTTTTCTAACTTCCCGCCCTTTTAGAACTCTAAGTCCCCCTCTCTCCTCTCTTTACCCCGTCCCATCCTCTATTCGTCCGGACTCCCGCGCCCCTCTCCTGCCCCACTAAAAAATTTTTCCCAAGCCGTAGTCCATTTCCATCTTGCAATCGTTTGCTACCTTCTCGAAACTTCTCTATCATATGGATTTGGTACTATACCATTGTCATTGTTTAGGAAGGCAAAATTTAAGTATCTTAACGTTGTAAACAAACACGCTCTGAGTTTGGAAGAAACAGTTAACGGTACTATTCAGTAAAAGCTGTAAACCAACCTTCCTTGTAACGGTATTTTTGTTCCTGCCATGTAGTACTGCTTGTCAATCCTGTGGCTAAGAATCTAGAAACAGCAACGCATACATTATGAGTTTTTAACATTTTGAAATGATAAGCTATTATCAATAGCGATAGTAACCGAAAAAAAGAAAATGAAGCTTGGAGCCTGTTCACAGAGCTCCTCTACATACTATTGAGGCGGATCATTGAGCGCGCGTATGAAAATATAAGCCAACGGGGATTTATTGACCGCTAGCGCAGCTAAAGGTGGACCGGGTGAGGAAGGGAGTTTTTCTAGTTTTTCTCCTTTTTGCTTTGTTTCTTGTTTTCTTTTTTTCTCGCGCGCTGTCGACTTCTCGAAAAAGAAAAAAAAAGGAGGCTGTGGACAGGCTAATAAAAAAGCGTTTCGTCCAGTGGCTTTTTTTAATTTTACGACTAACTGCAATAAAGTACTGTTATAAGGTTTCATTTTTACACACTCAGGAGATTGTCTTGTGGCACTTCTCGTTAATCGCATTCGTAAAGGCCCGTTTTCGTGCGATTTTTGGCTGTGATTTTTAGGCTTGATTTTAAATCATAAGTGTAAGGCGACTGCATAGTTGTTTTTTGCGATTTATCGACGATGAATGCGCGAGAGTCATAAAAACCCAGCCTATGGAAGCCTTGTCTTTCCAGTTGCATCTCCCCGGCCGCTGTAAAGTTACTACTTGTTCTGATAATCAAAAACCCATCTTGGTCCAAACAGAATACACTTAAACTTCCTCTCAAAGGCCACCCTGGGGACAGAAGAAAGTGGGCGTAGAGAGGTGATCGTTACAGATGGTTTTAAACAGGACTCAATGTATGGAATGTCCGCAAAAAAAGGAGCCGTTGTAGAGAGGTGGCCGCTGTAGAGAGGTTCAAACAAGAGTCAGTGTATGGACTGTCCGCCAAAAGAGTGGCCGTCGTAAAGAGGTGGCCATCGCTGCTAGTGGAGGTTTGATTGTACAATTAAAAATGTGGTAAGCGTTTCATAATGCCTATTCATAAACCTAACCAAAAGTCAAGTATTTCAGAACAGTTTCTTTTTGCCTTTATTTGTATTGACAGGTTTTACCAACCTCAGAGGTCCTTTTCATTCTTCTACACTGTTCCTTAGCTTGTTCTTCGGCCTTCAATCTGTCTCTTTGTCTACTGTACAATATTCTAGGACTGGCGATTTTAATAAAAGCATGTGGATTAGATTAACATCAAGTGATTAGTGCTGATCTTAACCAGCTTTCCTACAGATGCAAAATTAGTACTTATTCTGTAAAGTTAACCAGCTACAGTTTTCGATTTTCGTATGACCTTGAGAATGATTTCGGTATGTGTTCGTTATTTGTTTTATCAGCCAATGGATGAAAAGACCAAAACAGGGCCTCTTCCTCTTCCCGCCAAAGAAAACCTTAATATGGAGAAGGCATTGTTCGATTGGCCAATTGTGTTGTAGTGTGACGTCAAAGAGTATCGGTTGATTTCTGAAAGTTCTGGGACATGAAGTTTTTTCACCCGAGCGTTCGCTTAACCAACCAAAAGCCACGCGTGTATACGCTCGATAAACCAATCAAATCGCTCTATTTCCGTTCGTTTCTTGTTTCTGTTGCGTTCACGCGTTTTTATTTCAAGGACATAAGAAAACTGCTCTAAAGTAAAACTAATAAACCAAGGTATTCAAAATAAGAATCAAAGTAATAACCTGTTCTAGGCTCCAAGATAGTCGGGTCCGCTGAATTGAGAAAGCGCAAACACGAAAATAAAACGGGAGGAATTCGCTTGCCTTTTTCTTTCGCGTATTCCCCACTACCTGAGCGCCTGGAACAGGCTATCAAAGTAAGGGCAACAGAGAACAAGCATGTCTAAAAATATTAATAGTTACATTTTAACAACTTTAGGTTAGACTTACTTCTCATTTGTCCAATATCTTGATGGAACTCCCTAAAATAACAAAATTCAAATAAAGACGAGACTTAAAATATAAAAACTCTGCTTTTCTGTAACAGTTTGCACCAGGTGAATAAGACAAGACCGATGTAAAGTTTGTCTGAAGAAAGAAAGCCTTGGTTTACATCTAAATGCAGTTTTCGAAGTTACTTTTATTGCATATTTGGCTGCCAAACTTCTCGACACATGACTGTTACAGTGAAAGGAAGGTCAAAGAGATGGCATTGAGGGATGGAGAAGATTATTATCCCTTTAATGATTTCTTTTTCCACCAAACATGACAGGCATTCAAAAGGGATGGAGAAGAGGAGAAAAAACTTTACCGCGAAATGATAAAATTTTTCCACATGTCGGCAAAACATATGGTGCATTCCTTTATAGTTGTTTCTATAACAAAGGATAATGAAAACAATTTTTCCTCTCGAACTTTAATTTTTCTAGCACTTTTGAGACAACCTGCAAATTTTACTTTTTTCCCGCGAAAACTAATGGCGACTTTGGGGAAAATCCCGCGGGGGTTTTTTTAACAGAAATGTCGTGCATTTCTTATAGTTGTAGTAACAAGGAAAATGAAACAAGTTTTCCTCTCACTTTAAATTCTAGCATGAGACAAATTACCTGCTTATTACTAATGGAAGCTGGAAGCCTGCTTATTACTAATGGAAGGGGCGGGGGGTGCATAACAGTGTCAGTGATACAATTTTGGCAAATTTTGATATGGTATGATTTTTTTTTTTTTTCACGCTTTTTTGAGTGGCTTTTGCAGTTTTTCGACCTCCTTACACCCCTCCCTACGAGTGGTATTACCATGTTATGGCTGAAGGAAACGGGAACTGTTCTTGTTGTTCCTGTGGGAGATGGTGAGTACTTTCTGCTCAGCGCCATGGCGGGGAGAGATGTTGTTTTGAACTTTACGGTTGGTCTGAGAGAAGAAATAATCAGAGAAAGCAAAAGCTAATTTTACAAAACACAGAGTAATAATACATTGATCAATTAAAAGATAACAAAAACTGTTCAAAATAATTATACATGTAAGGTGAAGATTAAAATAGCTGTCAGACTTACTGAAAATTATATCCTGCATATTCACTCCTTGTTGTCGATTTTTCAGTGACAGCTGAGCTTGTTTCATTTATAGGCTAGAAGGTAAATGCATTATTAGGTTATAAACCCAGAATTGCTGGAGGTAATTGCAGAAGTTGAAAGGTGATGATGATGATACTGATGAAGATGATGATTATGATGAGGAGGAGGAGGAGGAGGAGGAGAAGGACGATGGTGATAATGATGACAGTGGTGATGATAATGGTGATAGTGATGATTACATTGCTGGAGCTGATGACAAAGGCAATAATATAAATGGCAATGACAACTATAGAATGATGTATTGTAAGAAAAAAGATGACCACAATGATAAATAAAGTGATCAATGGGAAAATATGAGGGGTATATACCGACACATCTCTAGGAAGTGGGGTGGAGAGCGGAGGGAGAAATGAATTCGCATCCTATTTGCTGTAGGATCTAGCCCAGGAAATGGTCTAAAGATCTGAAATCTTCACAGGAAGGGTGATGGTAAGAGATCTTGTCTTCTAGGCAATGGAGTGAGGGGAAAATTTCAATAATGTTTTTGTATTCTGGAACACCTTATTAAATATGGCACCCATGCATGTGTACCTGAAGGGCCATGTCAGTTTCTAAGAGACCAGGGGCAGACATGACGCTGTGTGTTGGACTGGCCACTTTGAGTCGGCTGACTGGTGATTGACTCTTGAGGTATTGATGCCGAGCATGTGTTTGTTTCTGCCATTCTTCATTTTTAACAGAGGGTGAGATTATTCTTCTGTAAAGTTGAGCTATACTGTAATCATCTTCAATGAGTGAAGAGGGGAAACAAAATATTATGAGGAAAAAATACATTATGCAGAAGTCATTATAATGAATAAGCTTATATACATTTCCAGCTGGTTTTTACAACGGTATGTACCGGTATTTCATTTTAAAAAGTTTCCATTATTCTCAATCAGTTTCACTAAGCAGACAAAATAATTGGGTTATTGCATTTAAGATAAGTAACTTACAAAAAAATGTCCGCATGGCCTGCATGAACTGAAAAGGTTTTTAAACCCTATTTCCGCATAATTCTGCTCTTCATGAGTGCAGTAAACTTATTGAAAAGCTCATAGAACTATTAATGTGAACTCGATTTCTAGGCAAAGTTCAGTCTGGCTCAGTATTGTGGGCCCGTAGGGTTTATCTTGTGATAAGCAATAATTTTATGATTACCTGTTATGCCTAAAACAACAAGCTTTAATTTGTTAACTAGTCATTAACAAATAACTAAACGACCTAGAGTTAATCAAAAGGCCGGACAAACATCATCAAAACATTACTCAGTGTATTTTGATTTACTTTTTGATTTCCTTTTGAAATCAAAACATGATGGCAGCTTACCCATTCTTTAGCATGCGTCCTTCCATAGCAACAAGGACAGATTTAAGTTAATTTGTTCCAAATTCCTGAGCAAATGGCAATGAAGTAGAGCATCACGAAGGGTTTTCACCACAGCGTTCGAAGACTTGATCGTACCTTGCCTCACACATTCCGAAGTTCCAAAGAGAAGACGCGCCGCGGGGAAGTAATGAAAGCAGCAGTTATCCCATAAATTAAAAGACCCCTATCGAGTTCTTTGATTCGATATCAATAAATTATGGTCAAGACATCTAATGAGCGTGTTGTTGACAATAATTTGTAGAGTTAATGAATAAAATTAGCATACTTCTCGCGTCCAAGCAACGAAGTCGCGCGCTTAAAGTAGCGCGGTCACTAAGCCTTCAAATTCAAAATGGCGACCTCCAAGCCAAAGGTAGAGTTTGAAAACCTACAAAGGGTTTTTTGGATTGTAATGTTTAGCAGCGCTACAGCTCTTTGTGCTTTGTGGTTTACTTTCCAGTAAATGAGTCAGTGTAATGTTAGACTGCAATAATTCCTTACAGATCGAAGGAGAGGACACAAATATCACATTCGAAGATCAACAACAGATAAACACGTTCGCACGAAAAACTGCAAGAATGCAAGAACTTCAGGACGAAATAGACGCGAAAAAGGTATGCAAGAAGGCGCAGCATAAAAAAGGGGCAGCATTTCTTGGAAGCTTTGGAGTAATGCTCCGTGGTTTAAGACAATGATTTTCACTTTTTGCAACCTTCCTAAAAGAGCCTCACAGAGCTATTCTTGGTTTGCAACCATATACCTGCCAACTCTCACGCCTTAGGCGTGAGTCTCACGCCTGCGGGTTGAAAACTTCGATCTCACGCCGGCTCACGCCTGCAGGCCAGTTTCTCACGCCTGATTGAAAAATGTGAGTTGTTGCCGTCTTGCTTGACACAATTTCCAAAAATATGTTAACTCAGACCCATGTAAGGAACGAAAACCATGTGTAAATGAATAAATAACAATACCTTCCTCGCGATCTGTGATTTTGTGGATAAGCGTTTTCTCAGTAACTTCGCCTTCGGCAGACTTCGGACGTCTTTGAAAGACTTCAGACTTCTTCGGAAGACTTCGGACTTCTTCGGACTTCGTCTGCAAAAATCCCAGGACTGCCAGGATAAAAATCTCACGCTTATATCTCAGAAAAAGTTGGCAGGTATACAACCACGTGACAAGGCGACCATGTTGAGGGGTCAATACAATAGGAATTTTTCTCGAAAAATTTACATCAAAATGGAGTTTAGTTCCCAAGGGAGAGAAGTGCTTTTGTTCTTGACCGCCAACATGGCCCCTGTGACATCACGTGCAAACCAGTGATATTAAATTTAATTAAGCTTAATAATAATAATAATATTTAACACTTATATTGCACTTTTTCTATAAAAATACTCAAAAGCGCATTAGAATATTATTAATAACTAAATTAAAAACCAGTAAAATTATCCGGTAAAATTACAATATTTCAAAAAATAAAAAAATAAATAAATAATCTAACTAAAAGCCTTTTTAAATAAATATGTTTTAACAGAGCGTTTAAAAGAGTCGATTGATGTTTCCTGTCTTATTGGCAGAGGAAGACTGTTCCATAAAAAGGGGGCAGCCATCGATAACGCGCGATCTCCCAAAGTCTTCTTCGTTCTTAGCCGAGGTCTTTCTAATAATAACTTATATAACTATATTTTTGCTTCTGTCTCTGCAGAAAGAACTTCAGAATCTTGAGGATGCTGGTGATGAGCTTTTGATGCTAGAGGACGACACAGCACCAATACCATATCCTTATTTTTAAAAAAAAAAAATACAATGCTCGCATGTGGGTTCTGTGGTATCTTTGAGCCATCGCGAGCACTCATCGTCTGACCCTTTCTTCTGCCATAAAGGGCAGGTAAGAGTACTCTCATCAAGCAAGGTTTTGACTCAAGTATGTACAAAACTCAGACTGGATCAACTCATTACAGTCAAACCAGGTCAAGCGTACCCCCCAAGAATACATTAATGAATTTATTATTCAAAAGTTGAATCCATTGCTAGTTGTAGATTTCAGATTGATCTCTGCATTCTTGCATGTGTAATGAGCTGTGAATTCGCACGCGAGGCAGTTATGAAATTTCTACCAGCTCCATTTTCCTGAAATTGATGTAAATGTCTTCTAAGAAGCTTAATCCATTCAAAGATTTCCAATCTGACCAAATACAGAGAACTTCTCGTAAAATGTTCACTGCTCATTATCCATGCACAAATGCCGCTTTGAGTTTGACACCAGTTACGGGAACGACTAACGGATTCATTTTTCAAATAATCAATTCATTAATAGAATCTTGGGGGGTACGCTTGACTTGGTTTGACTGTAACTTTACACATGGGGAAAACAGTGGGAACTTTTGTCTCATAAGTATGTAAATGGGGTGATCTAGTCAAAGTTTTGTTCCCACCTTTTTTGATTGTGCATTTCCCCTGATCATAAAACACACTGAAAGACCAAAGCTCATTATCTACCTTATGCGGGTCTTTAATTTTGTGTATGTTTTTTCCTTTGCAATTGAAAAAAAAAGAACTAACTTGTAATATTGCAACAACATATACAGAATATGTATCAACAAACACAAATTGCTTACTGGTTTTACTGGTAAGCTCATATTTGTATCTTCAGTTTTGAAATAACGTTAACTTGCAAAGACTTCACACATTTCTTGGGCCAGTTCATCTAAAAATATAATTAAAACCCTGCGAAAAACCCTCTCATCAAAATTGCGTAATTAAGTGCCAATAAGGTATCTATATTACACTTACCCTATCCATGCCATTAACATCAACCACTGTGCCGCCCTTGGGTAGGTTTTCAAAGAAGGCTGTGCTTTTAGAAAAATTGTAGGGAGCCCAAAGCTCTGAACCAGGCTGGAAAATTTAGGGTCCTCAGTATAATGAGTTTTATGCTAAACCTTAGATTTCCTAGTTGCCTAAGGAAAAAGGTGAGTAGAAGGCAGGGGGCTCACGGGGCTGTTCTTTTACTCTTTCCTTGCACTGGCTAATAGTAATAAGACTGGTATTGCAAGACCTCTTTCCGGTAGATTTGTCGCAAATGTTGTCAGAGAAAAGGAAACATGTGGGCTCAGCTTCTTACAGTTTTATTCTGCATTACAGCAGACATTGCTTCTGAATCAGGCTAAGGTCATGCTTCTTTCAAGGGTAATTTTGGCTACTACCACACACACTTGTGACTGAAATTTAACAAAATATCACAACAACGAGCAGCTTAAAACAGTAAAGGAATGCAAAAATACAGGAAAGCTTAAAAAGAACATGGACTGGTAGACTTGAAAACTAGATGTCCACTTTTTTTAGTTTGTCTCAGTTTGTTATTTGTAGGTGTTACTTATAATTCTCTAGAATGATCTATTTGTCGTATATAGTGTCAGAGAATGCTATCAGTGAAAGGCATTTCTCTAATACTAGTCCACAGTTTAAGACTTGTATTTGTCAAAAGTCATAGAAAAGTACAATGGCCAGGACTATTTTAGTCCATTTGCAGCTTGAATTAAAATTTCAGCCTATTAGGGCTCCAATTTTACCAACCCTCCCCCTGGCCAACCCATTTCCTTTTTAGAGAGGACCTTTTTGCATGGAGTTTTAAAGTCTACCAGAAAACAATCCAGCGTGGCTGGCAGGATTGTTACATGCAGGGTACATGTTCTTTTTGGGGCGGAGCTGTGAAGGATTTTTGTTAGCAGCAAAACCCTGCCAGCTTTGCAGGCTACCAGAAAACTTTGTCTGATTTAATTTTGCAGAAAAGTTGTTTGCTTTCTTAACACTCCTTACTTATAGAATAGGGGAGGTGTTCATTCATCTGTCTTCAGAGGAAACTCAGGAGTACCTGGAGAGTGCAAAATCCAAGTTACAGGAAGAAGTCAAATTACTGGAGTCACAGTCTGGAGAAGTCAAAGCTCTTTTAGGAGATTTGAAAGTGAAACTTTATGCCAAGTTTGGGAATAACATAAATTTAGAGGCAGAGGAAGAATGAAAGAAATCCAATATAGTTGCTAGCCGTTTAGTGGCTGTTTTTTTTAAAATATGTATTCAGTTTATTTAATAAAAGAATTAGGTCTGCTCAATTTCTCAGTCATTTTGTAAGTGTGAATGGGGCATCCTGTCTTGACAAACTCAAGAATAATGTTTCACTTAATATATAATTTGTAAAAGATGCAGTTGTTCAGGTTTGATGTAAATGAAATGTTAGAAGCAAATCTTTGGGTGATATGACCTTAGGTTCAGGTTTTTCCCACTTTTTGCCCTGGTTTTCCCTCAGCTAACCCAAGCTCCACTAGGTCCTCTTTTAGTTTTGCATGGTAGAAAAAGTGTTTAAGTCAATGACCTGTAATTTGAACATGATCGAATCAAACGCCCCTGAATTGATGAATTGTATTATTGTTTTAAATCCACCCAAAGAACCACACTGGGGACACAAAAAGACTGACCCCAGCTGGAGAGAGGAGAGAAAGAGGTACTGCCTTTTATAATGCTTGTGAAAAGCGGCTGAGCCACATGTGTCATGGGGTTCCATTTCTTACTGGTATCTTTCCACTTACCTAAACAAGGTTGATTTAAAATGTCAAGAAATGAAATAGTAAATGAAAACTCCGTTCACTGTTGGTGTGGGATAGGCTACCTTAGCAGAACATCCCCCCGCCGGCCCCTTAACTCCTTCCCCATGTCCCTCTTGTGTTAAGGCACTTTAGATGCTTTAAGAATTCCAAAAGAGTATATTCCCGTGTATAAGAGCCCATAATTTCCTAAACAATCGGTCGTCAGGGTTTGGTATGCTGTGAGATCTGCAGTACAGTTTGTTTCACGCTACATGACGTACAAAGTTTTGTTTGTCCCAGTTTCCCCTCTACCTAAAACAAGTGAAGGAAAGTCATGGCGACCTGTTTTCGTGATTTGAGACGATGTAAAAGTTGCTGGCTTCTTTTAAATCGTCGTCTTGGCGCATCAGTTAAGGTATCATTTTATCCGTTTTTTCTCTACTACCATTTTACAAGCCGATAAAGATATCTTTATCTTCATAATTTTTACGCATGGGCCTACAGGTCACTGCCGCCAGAAATTTTCTTCCATACATTCATGTCACACGACTATACCATGTACGTGCATGCCTTCAGAGGACATTTAATTCCTTCACTTACGGTCTTTTTTTCTTTTCGGTTCAAATCAGCTGACCTTTTGTGCTTGCTATCGGTGTTCAGAGAAAACAATTAATGTCAATATGTACTAATTTGTTAGAAAGGTACTGAATTGTGCTGGGTCTTCAGGTTTGTTGAGGTGTGCACAAAACAAAACTCAACGCTTCCTCACCTTTCTCCTTTAAAAGAGCACTTAAGGCATTTATTTGTAATAATTATTAGTATACTTCAACAAAAATCTTGGGAAAAAGCCTTTTAATATTCAACATTTGTAAACTTCCGTAATATTGATTAGTTTAATTTTTCACCTGATATGATATTGTACCCGTCGCCGTAATTTTTATGCCAACTTCGAAAAATTGTAATTGAGGAGGCCTAATTAACATAAGCTCTATAGTTTCTTTTAGGCCTTCTCGCCATCTCTTCCTACATTTTTTTTTCTTTTGGCATCTTTAAGTAATTATTGTAATTGTGTGGCAAATAAATAAAATACCTAAAATACCTATAAACCTAAGAAATCTCTCAGTCAAAATGACTAAGGCCAGCAACTGCACAGAACTGGAACAAGTTGTCCACACATCTTAAGATCAAAGGGGCACACCTTTGCTTCATTGCAGAAATCGCATCAAAGTCTCTGTTTGTTCTTATGTGTGAAAAGTAGCCCTATCTGGTGAAGTTTTCAAGCCAGTACAAAAGCTACTTGGTATATTTAGTGTGAATATAACCTAAGAGACACTACTCAGGGTTCCTTTGGTTCCTTTCCCTTATTCAGTTAAAAGGTAAAGGTGCACCCGAGCCAAAGGCCCACATGGCCGGAGCTTATCCCGGTTTCATCAGCATGAAGCACGTAGGAGTGTTGCTACAGAACTCCCCACTGGACGGGATGCTAGTCCACGCAGGGTTACCCCCCAGCAATATGTCACCAGTACCCATTATACACTTGGGCTGAAGAGAGACATAGTGGAGTAAAGTTTCTTGTCTATTAAAGGGAACAACGCGACAGGCAAGGCTTGAACCCCCAGACCTCCAGATCTGGAGTTCGAGATGTTAACCACTCGGCCACAGACGTCTCCACCTTATTCAGTTAGCTTGCTTGCAATGAAATCCCTTCCTGGATCTCAGAGGATGGTCTCATTACCCCTTATTGTAATTTTCTCAACATTTTTGTAAATAAAAAGGCCTTGAGCATTATGAACTGTTTTGTGTGTGTGTGTGTGTGTGTGTGTGTGTGGTAAAATTTCATGCCTCACAGATGTCTGATCATTATAGGAGAAAAACTTGTCTTATTTTCTGTTAGGTATTGTCTTCCAGTTTTAGTACAATCCATGTTGAACCCTCTAAAAGTGAAGAAGAAATAAACACTAGAATTGAGAAGCATGCCTATGGGAAAACTGGTTTGGAGAAGAGGAACAAGGAAGCAGATGGATTGTTTTATCTGAAGACAGTATATTTACCTGATCAACTTGAGAAAAACCTTAAACAGTTTTTAAAAAGTAAGTGTACAAATGTATATAATGTATAAAGTAAAATAACTCTTGAGTTAAACCTGAATTTCCTTTCGTGTGATCTCCTATGAATTGCTAGAGCAAAGAAAGAAAGGAAAATCTGAATCAAACTTGGTTAAATACTGGTTATTTAATCTGGGAGTTTTTTTGTTTTGCTTATTGGAAATACAACTATAAGGAGCCATCAAAGCGTCAAGTTTCTTTTGTGTTGTTGATTTTTTTTCTAACAATAAACAGGTATTATAAATGTTCAAAAAAGACAGCTTTTTTATTAGGATTTTTAATTTAAAGTAGATAGTACTTAAATTTAAGTTGCATTCGACTAATTTCTGTTTTTGAATGTCCTTGGTAAAAATTGAGTGGACTGAACTGTTTTGCTTTGTGTTCCAATTTTGCCCAAAGAGGGAGATAGAGTGAACCTTATGTGCTACCAACATAAACTCAGTTTATTTTGCATTTTCTTCCAGAATTCCCAAAAAAGCTGGTTGAAAATGATGGTAGAAAACTTGCCAGGCATATTAAAAACAGAGGTCGTCCAACTGAGCAAACATGGCAGAAATACAGAGAATCTAAAAGGCGTAGAGAAGTATTAGCAGGTAATCTGAAGTTGAATATGAAGTTAGAAGTATTCTTCTCAAGCCTAAAGTAAACATTTGGAGAGGTTGTACCAAAAATGCTGTTTGAAGCCAGTGGAGTTATTTTTTTGGTCTCTTTCAATCATTTGTCTGAAAGTTCAAAAATTAATTACAGCCAGTTTTCTCTATTAAGATGGACACCTGTGGGACCGGCACTGACTGTCTGTCTTAAAGAGGTATCTGATTTATAGAGAGTCAAGGTGACGTGACACCAGTAATAAAAAATATAGCTGATATATAGCTGAACCCATTCACAATGGTTACACACCTGTTTTACTTATGCAAAACAGTGAGAACTGGAACATCATTTTTCTCATTCAGTTTGCTTCCCTAACTAATTAGGCATTGTACAAGCTGGAACTTTACAACGTTCTGATGTGACGCCTACAGTAACTTTACATGTAACTCAAAATGTCACATTTACATACGGTGTTAATGGCTTAATCCTCAAGTGGGCAAGATTAAATGAATCCTGTGTTCTGACTGGCTACCCGAGTGGGCAAGATGCTTACAATTTCCTGCGTCAGTCCCACAACAAAAGTTTCTCTTTTTGGCTGTTATTTAAATCCTTCATTGACCAGGTTATTCATTCTTTCTGCATATTGGCCTTATCTTCATCTCGTTCATAAAAATGCAAAAAGGAACTTTGTCAATAAATGTATGTACACTGTCCTAATGAATGTACAGTGCCCATCTTGACCAAATAAGATTGGTCAATAACATGTATTTAATATATTATTTTATTAATTATTGTTTTTAATCTTGATGTTTATACAGAAAGTGAAGTTAATCCAGAAGACATTTTAAAGTTGGAAAGTCAGGAAAGAGAAAGTGTATTATTTGATGAACAAATTGAAGATATTAGTGAGGATGACGAGAACGAACTTTATGAAGACTATGAATCAATCAACTTAAGTGATGGAAACACGCAGGGTGATGACAGTGAGAGGGTTGATGATGAAGATGGAATCGAAACAGACGACATTATGGCTAAAGAGTCTGATAACAGTGTATTAAATGTGACAAGTTCAAAAGTCAAGAATACAAAGAAGCCAAAGAGAGCTGAATACAAAGTAATAAGGTAGGGTTTATATACCATGTGCTGCCCGCCAAAAAGGAGCATGGATTAAAATAGCCTTTGTCACTGATTTAATCTAACCCCGTTAGTCAGGGGCACCCAACGAGAATATAGTTCAAAACCACTTAAAAATAGCATTGTTTTAAAGTGCTACTGAAACGAAAATTCAAAGTGGCTTTTTTTTACTTAAAATACTTTTTCATTCCAAGAAGGTCACTAATAACTAAAAATAATGCTACTTTACGTCCAAGAAGTCGCCGTGATCGGCGCTTGAAGTGTGATACCAAAGAGGGACAAAATCTGAAAACGGAGTCTGCGAACTAGTCAGCGGATAACCACACTATTGACGTCACATGGTTGAGTCGCAAAGCGAAAGGTTGCCATTGCTGATATAATCCACTGTTGAGTTCGCACTGTAAACTTCTAGTTTTTTTTTACGGTCTACATTTGGAAAATGTCTACTTCAGGCGATTCAGATTGAACACAAGCTCTAGGAGTGTTTCTGAAGAAGTGGAGAGCGAAATCGAGGGACGATTTTGGCGTAGTTGGCGGCCCTCGTGGAGCCATATCATTTTCGAGCCTATTGCCCCGGAAGACTATGAAGAGCCGAGGAAGAAGAAGGCGAAGACGGTTTAACTCCGGCTATATTAGAGGCTAGATCTGAAAATCAGATAACCCTTGATACATGGTAAGTAAGATATGTAACGATAACACTTCAGGCGGTTTAATTTAGTTTTCTACGATCTTCATGCATACAACAATAATTGTTATATGCATGAAGTCCTCTTTGTTTACGGTTTGTTGTACACTAAGTAACTATAGTAACTTACGTGTTTTTCTTCTAAATTCTGCTAATTTTTTTGTAGGTGTGAATGCGGAAACTGCAGTACTGAACTTTTGTCCAATGCCTTGGAGTTCCGTTGTTGCAAGGAGGTCGCCGCAGCCATGGCAAAACTTACCTTTGAGGGAATAGAAGGAAGTTGCGTTCTCGACCACACAGACTTGACGCGCGCTAACAAATGCGACTGTACTCGAGCAAGTTTGCCCTCTTTTGAAGGACAGGAAGGGTCGCAGCTACAAATTTCCTAGCCAAGGAACTCAAAATGCTAAGAATGAGTAAGTATTTGTGCTTCTGTTCAATAGCACCTAAGTTCATTCTTACCACATTCACTCTATGTTTAACCTGAGTTGATGTCTGGATGCAGCTGCTGGATGGTGAACTGTCAGAATCGAAAAAAAAATTAAATAAAACCTACAAAGGAATTTCTAAGGAATCTTCCACTATTTTGCGTTACGAAGAGTTATCCCTCGTTAAACTACAGTCTGCAATGTTTGCAGGTGTGAAATCTCTTCAGAGGAATTAAGAAAAATGCAACTGACATGTCAGTCAGAATAAAATAATAAGACTGTTACATGAGTGAATGGTGTGATGATGCCTAGCTAAAGTTAACATAAAGCAATATTTTTGGTTAGTGAGAATGTAGGATTTTAGAGCAAGCCATAGAAAAGTGCTTTTTGTTATAAATATGTAATAAATATTTTTCCCCCAGGAGCTATCGTGCCACTGCATACCGCTTTTTAGTGCGATGGATATTTGGACCCCTTGGATGGAATAACAGTAGACCACTTCCAGCATGTGTCTACCACAAAATCAGGCAAAAGTTCCAGACTGCCTCCACCAGAGGTTACAGTTCCGCAGAACGTAGGCAAGGTGAAGCCAGTGCAAGATAGCTCATGTGAGCACACAAACAACGGCTCTTTTAGGAGCCACCAACTTTATAAAAGCTATGACCTAAATGATTCACACTTCTTGATCTTAATTTACTCTCAAACTCAGAAAACACTGTGAACACTTGAACACTTGACTTCAGAAATGTTTATTGTATGTTGTGACCAGTCACAACAAAGGTCAGGACATGCGAGCAAGCCTCAAAGCCTTGAACCAATTACTGCTGTTTCGCCGGTTTAGTTTTCCACATACCAGAAATGTTTCTATTGATCTCTGTTTTCTCAGTGTCACAGTAAATATTATCATTATTATTATTATGACAGTATACTTTCAAGACAAGCCTTGTATTGTTTGGCAACATTTCACTAACTTATTAGGCCATGGGCTTATTTTCTGCCTAACTTTATTATGTCAAATGGACAATCTGATTCAGCAAACATGCTATGGCAATGGGTGGCATCAAAATAGGCAGCTTTAAACAATCTGTAAGAGTTCACTGGGTGCCCATTAGGAGTTTTAATGCAGTAAGTTCAGCTAATCCCTAGCAATAACATCACCCTAGATTTTCATCTTAGTCAACAAAATGGTGAAAAAATACAGGTTGGGGCATATTTTGGCAATAGCTCTACACCATCCTGTAATATTGTGAAAGAGAAAAATTAATAATAAAAGAATTAAGCTATACTGGAAGAGTCCTATTTGTCATTGGTATGTAGTAAAACTATTCTGTCTGCCATTTTTGTTGAGTGATAAACTATTCTTTAAGATTTATTGTCAAAAGTTCCTTTTGATATGCAATATTTTGTACACACACTAGCGTAAATGCTTTAAGTGTTACTGGCACCAGCGCAGCCAACTCTGGAGTGGTTTTTCATCGGCTTCTTGCACTTTCTACACACTGGAGCCTTTCGCTTCTTCCTGACAGGCTGCTGGTCAGCACTACTGCATGATGCCTGAAGTACATCTTGAACTTCAACTGCAAGCAAAACCATTCATTAAAAGTAAATATAGAGAGAGCACACACACATCTTGTGGAATTGTTGTGGGCAGGAGGAGCATATATTTATTATAATAAAGGTAATGACAAATAGTAAAACCATTAGTTACATACAGTTTATAAACAATTATTGGATGAGGTTTTTGTGATATTCGGATATCACAAAAACCGAATCTAATAATTGTTTTATTATCCTTTATCTTCAAGTAATTTCTCAATTTCTTGCTGGATCAATGAAGCGAATCGAGAAGCCATTCTTACTTCGCTGTCCATGAACTTGACATTGCTCTCCGTGCACTTGACATTGCTCTTGGAAATCATGCATTGCGAGTGCAACCTACAGATTATTCACTAATCTGTAGGTACAGATTAGTGAATCATCTGTAGGTTGCACTGTTTCCCAGAATTAACTGTGGGCTTTTAGCCAATGAGAAGACAGATGGTGACTACAATGTACAATAATTATAAAAACTGGCCTTACAAGCCTTATTCAAGAAACTTGAGTGGATAATATTTTTTCTAGTAATTAATCACATAACCTCACCTGAAGGGTATGCCGCTGTTTCTTTCTGTTTTCTCTTATTGTAGTTTTCCACTGCCTCTGCTCTACGTCTCTCGGTGAACTGTGAGTTCAAAGGTGCTGGGGTTTTTGTTTTGTATTTCAAGAGGATAGCATTCCTCTCAGCCAGGCGCATGCTGAACACCAGTTCTCCCACCTCATCCACATATTCTGGTAAAAGAGGGGACTGTTAGGAAAGTGCTTAATGCCCACAGAAGTGGTAAACTGGGTTTTCAGTCCTCCACCATTTCCCCATAATTTTTCTGCTAGGTTTTTCTGTGTAACAGCCAGACACCCACCCCTGCATTTTTTTCCCTTGAACTATTGGTAGGACCCTGTAAGAGCCATTCATCTTCCATAAATCATGGTTGGGAACCACCACTGTGGCTACACTGAAAGTTCTAAAAAATAACCATACTTACTGTATGTAGGAGGGACTCTGATTTCTCGCACAACTTCTTCTCCAAACTTGTATTTAGGGTATGTCACTAAAAGGTACTCCTTTCCGTCTTTTGTCTTTTGCGGTTCCCTCAACAAATTCTCATTGAAATGCAGACTGGCTAAGATGTGCCTAAAGCAAAAACACAACAATAAAGGTTTGATTTAACTGACTTGTCAGCCACTTTCACCTAAGCTAATGATTTAGTTTTTGTTTTGGACGAAATGTTTGGAGCAATTATTAAGGGGGTATGGTTAGAAAAGATTCCTCTTGTAAAAATTCTCTAGTGTTGGTAGATGACATCCACCTCTGACGTCCAATATAACAATTTACACACCCTACCTGCAGTATGTGCCAAGCCATGAGAAACATATCATCTTAGGATGGAACTGATTCAGCGTAGAGTGAAAACCCTCCAAGCAACTTGTTTGGTCCTCACTAGACAACTTTTTTATATCATTAAGGAGCCTTGTATTCATCAAAATTTGTTTCATCTTGTTATAGACATTTGTGCCTGAAATACATTAACCAATACATTAGTTTCTCTTTTTTTAAGACAAAAAGGTTGCTTCTGACATGTATTATTAATTGTTGTTTCAGGAAATTTTTTACACCCTTTACAAACAGGTCATCAAAAATTCTAAACATAAAAAGAATCCTCTAAAGCCAAGTATTAAAAAAGCAATTCAAGACCTAGACTTGGACTCTAAGAGGGGTAGGGAGCATTTTCAAACTAAAACACCTTTAAAACACATTTATAAACCACCTTGTTGAAATAAACTGAACTGAAACAGGTGATACATATTACCAGCTTTAAAGAGTTAAATTAACTGGTGGTTGGAACTGCTTGAAAATGTGTTCCCACAAAAACTCACCTTTTTTTAGCCAATATCGTCTTGATAGAGGTCCATGGACACACTGTTTAAACAGAGGCTCAGGGTGTTGAGTATGTTTATTACAAACATGCCTAATAATGGACTTCCACTTTGCTAAAATCAGCTCACCAAATCCAAGCTTGGTGGAAGTAGCACACCAATGCAAATGATTCTTTATGGCCTTTTGCCACTTCACAAGGAGTTCACAGCCACTTTCTTTTCCAACTTGAAGTAACTTCTTTGTTACTGATTTGGCAACATGCCAGATATCAAAAAAGTGTCTGGTTGCTGGCTCATGCTCCCTAATCCATTTGGCAATTGAACGGTGCCTGTCTGATATGAACACATGAATTTTTAACCCTGCTGCTTTTAGGAAGGCAAAACTGTCTTGGGCACCCTTTAACTCCATGTCACTGCTGCTCTTTACTTGGTTTGCCTAACATTAAAAAAATATACATTTATCACTCAAAGATAATATTTCCTACAATTTTTGTGTAGTAGTGGCAGATTTTCCCATTCAGCAAAAGTTTTAATCAATAATTATATCAGGCTATTAACGAGTCTTATGTGGTCCGTCACACATGGATCTAGGTGTCAAGAAATACCAGATTTTTATTTCTATAGGGGCCAGGAAGACAGGTTGGTTGTTTTTCTTATCTATATTTGTAGATATAAATGAAAATATACCTGAACCAGCTCAAAATGTACAATCTTAGCAACTGCACAACAGAACATTGTGTACGCTCCATATTTTGCAGAGTGTCCCATGGAGTCAAATCTGCCATCTCCGCACCAAATTGCCTCTCCCTTTTCTTTAATCTGATTCACCAGTTTGGACCTGTATCGTTCCCAGTAGGTCAGAATGGCTGGGAATAAAAACTTGCTCTGGTGGACAAAGTAAGTACGTGCATTGTATACAGAAATGCCCATGTGTTTTAGAACCAGGAGCACTTTACTAACAGTTGCCCCTGCCATTAGAATTCCAAAGCTTAGCAGGATATTCCCTGCTGGGTATCGCCCAAGCACCATTGGCTGTGACCTCCACAGAAATGAGTTAGGACCACAATTTCTGCAATTCTGCATCACTGTTACCATGGTGCCATTCTTTTTCATGGTGACGTCTGGCCCTTCACTCTTGCATTTAAAACAAAAAATCGAGAATATAGCCAGTAGCCTTGTATAGAACACAATAAATTTGGGTTCCTTCTGGCAAGGGATGTCTTCGTCAACACTACAAAATATAATCCAAATATAGGCCGTGTTAATTAATTTTCTAGTCTACAATATTTTACAGCTGCCAAAATTTAATCATGCAATGCTCAGGAGAGTTTAGCAAAAAACACATGCCAGCTGCAAAGGAGACTGAAGAATTTACTGGTTATAGGGATTAGCACTTGGCATTTGTAATTTCAAATAATTTGAAACAGTTTGCAAATTGAGCCATTTAAACAAAAAAGGAGTGATTAACTAATTAGGCCAACTTTAGGCTCTCGGCAGTCCTCTCTGTACATTTCCACCCAAAAAAGTATCATGTGAGTTGACCTACAGGAGGGTTACTTTTCCTTAGCAACAGCCCTGAAATTATTGACCAGTATTTTGCAGAATTTACTTTGGATGTTATAAAAATACAAATACTGCAATAAATTAGGCAGTAATAATAATTGTTAAATGTAAGAGCAAGGGATATGGAATTATGAAACAAGCTATAGCTTCTTGAGCACGAAAAAGGAAGGATGAGTACCAAATGACCAATAAAAATCATAACATCTTGCCTGATATTGTTCATCGGTGTACTTTCCGTCTCTTCATCGTCGGCGTCAATATCATCATCTCCCTTATCCTCCATCTGACAATGCCAGTCTGGATCGTCTTCCTTTTCATCTGTTAAATTCTCTGTATCCTCCAGTCCAGGGTCTTCCAAACATTCAATATTTTCCACTTCTGTCTCTACCTCCTCCATGTCCTCTTCTTCCTCTCCTTCCTCTTCTAATTCTTCTTTACTGCTGCTTGAGTCATACTATCACATAATTGTGATAAAGAAAACTGTCACTAAAAAAAACCTTTTGAATAAAAGATAGAAACCCTCCACATGGTACTGCAGTTTTGCACGAGAGGATGACTTGGTGGTTGGGGAGGGGTATTTGAGAATTACTTTCTATCTTACGTACCAGGAATAAGAAATAAAAAATAGCACTTACATTTATTAGTGTGGCTTGTTCTTTCCATTTTTTCTTCTGAGAGCGTAATTTCCCGTTTCGCTTCTGCAGGACTCTTACTTGCATTTTCCGCTCAGCGCACTTTCGGCACTCTCCAAGTGTAGTCTGTGACTGTCTGGATCTCATTTTAGGCTTTGCCTGGGTAGCTCTATTGCAGGCCACTCCCCTCGGTGTCAAGACTAAAAGAAAGCACGTCGTCTTGGTCGGACAAGTCCGACAAGTCACCATCGTAGCTGAATTCTCCCTCCTCGTCTTCACGGTCCTCGCATGATTGCACTGTACTTGCTGCCCCTGGCGCTCCACTTTACGCTCGGTTTCCCTTTCGATTTCCGCAAATGCTGCAATTGTTTATAATTAAGGAGCAAGTTTAGTGGAGATATTACTCTTTGTAAAAGCACTTCCAAATGCTAGGCATTGCAAAGAACGTCGAGTGATCACTGAAAGGCCTTTTGTTTCGTCTTACTCGTAATTTTTAGCACCTCAGTCCGGCCGAGTTGTTGAGGATTTCCCGATGATTTCGATAAAAATACACTTCAGTTGATCAAATATTTCGTTATTTTTTGATCTTTGTTTTTCTCAAAAACTACCACTGAAACTACCAAAGACAAACATAACAGGCTTGTTGTGAAAATTGAAAACACAATAACTGGATTGGACACTTACCGCGTTCGATCTCCTTCGATCGCGGTCGCTTGGTTCTTTCCTCTCTGGCGCTTTTATTGGCGCAGTGAATTGTCGGCACCGATCCTTTGCTTAACACACGTTTTTCCTGAAACCGCTTGTTGCTTGGTCCGGAGCTCTCGCCGTTTTCCTCGCTTGTTTCGGCAGGCATTAGGGTGCTTAACCTCAGGCGGGTGAAACAACTCTCGTTAAAGTGCAATGAGCACAGATAACTGTATTCGGTGGGCTCCCAATCCGGCCTGTGAGTCCGCACAAACTTAACCCATTGAGCCCTAACTTTTTCATTTTTGGGGAATATGTGCATCGAAATGCCAGAACTATAAGAGTTGTTCGTACAACTTATTTGACCCGGAGCACCGGCCGCACAAGTCTTGCCTCCACTTCCACGCTTCGCCATCACAGTGATCTGACTGGAAATGTGAATTCGCCGCGCTCGACGAGTCAACCATGTGACGTCATATGCATATTTAATTAAGGATCTGCTTGTCGCCCTTTGTGCCGCAATTTGGCCATGTTTGTGTTGGAAAAAAATGCCGAAAACAACGTTTTCCTAGCGTCAAAACTTATTTTCCTTTTCAATTAGATATTGAACTAATAATTTATTGCTATTTTTCACTAGATTATTTTTGGCTTCAGTAGCACTTTAACGTATTTTAGTATTTAACTGGTAGATATAGGCATATTTTTGTCCCCTAAAATTTTTTCATCTTTGTGGATTTCCTAGCTGACCCGAAAATTTTAGGGATTAAAACTTACCTTTTTGAACATTTCAGCTAGGAAAAAGGCTCCTGGAAATTGTAGGTGACCTTTTTAGGGTAAAAAATTCATTCAAAATGGGCAATTATACCATTTTTTAGATGTTCAAAAATCCTAGGAGAGACAGGCAAGCAAGAAATTTTACAACATATGTTCCGAAAATTCTAGATCTCAAATCGTCTTCTGAATAGATATTTTCCTAAAATTGACGTTGGGTGCCCCTGGTTAGTGACTGTAAAGCAGCACCAATACCCTTGTTCTAGGCCCTCAATTGACACAACGAATTACGGAAAATTCTAGGTGACCTTTTTAGGGTAAAAATTCATTAAAAATGGGCAATTATACCATTTTTTAGACGTTCGAAAATCCTAGGAGAGGCAGGCGAGCAAGAAATTTTACAACATGTGTTCCGAAAATTCTAGATCTCAAATCGTCTTCTGAATAGATATTTTCCTAAAATTGACGTTGGGTGCCCCTGGTTAGTGACTGTAAAGCAGCACCAATACCCTTGTTCTAGGCCCTCAATTGACACAACGAATTACTGAAAATGTGTTTCATGTTTCCACTCAACTTGATTGGAAAATCAACAATGGCTTTTTTAAGGGGCCAGTCATTACTAGTACACTGTCAGGTGGGAACCTAGAACAAGGCCTTTTGGGCTGTTTTAATTTGCACACTGACTTACGGTAACTTGAATTTTAGTTGCATCTCTGGCACAGGTTAGTATTTAAGGGTCTAGAAAGTTAAATTTAGATTGTCTTTTTGTGCAGCTCATTTTGAAATTGTGAAAGGTTTAAACCCAGGAGTCATTTCATACGTAAGGTATTCGTATGTATTATAAGACGTGACTGATTATCCAATGGCCGAGAAAAGAGAAAACTCAAAAACAGAATAGGCCTTCTTTTCCCGTACCGCAGAAGAAAATGGCGTTTCTTCTATTTTAAATTAACCAACCATGCAAAGAAAATTTGCCCAAAAAAAAGGGCATCCGAAAAGATCACGGAGGCTTCATTTTCACCAGCAGAGGACTTTACACCATTGTGAATGCTACCGCTGAAATAGAGCTGTTTAATTTCAGCAAGCCCACAAATCTATCATCGAACAGCCATACAATCCCTTGTAAAATCAATGTGAACACATGCAATGTTTTCAAAGTCTCTGAATAGCTTTGCATGGTGAAATTGATTCACAAAGGACACAAAATCTTCCAGCAGCTGCCTCAGGTGATCTACTAAGCATTTCTTTTTTTTATATTTTCAGCCTAGAAATGTCTGTGACTAATATGGAACGTGTTTTGGCATCCAATAATAGATGTTGATGTTCGATAATAAATTCCTTGACCTAACTCACTGTTCAATAAATTTTTGTTTTAAATACTTCCTCTGAAATGCTTATTTGACATACATCTAATACAAAGAGCTGAAGTTTTAAGTATTGACTTGTACAAAATGTAGATACAACAAAAGAGAGTCTGTGGCATATGCAGCAAGTCGGATACCTACCAGTTATGGTGCTACATTAAGAGTATTTCATGAGGTAGGTACTGGTAACTGCACTGACGAGTCATTTGAATGCACATTGTTATAAATATTGTATTCTAAGGTCCAAAGAGGTTTTCCTTATAAAATGAGCACCCAAATCACTTATGCCCACTCTCTATGAGCTTGGTCAATTCACCCCCTCTAGGAGAGCCACCAATAACAATAAATTAACTGGCATACTATGGGTATCAAGTTTCAGTTTATGCCCAAAACTATCCCCAAAATTACCACAACTTTAACTGAACACAGATATCATGTTAGGTTGTGTGTGTAGCACCCAGGTTAGCAGTGCCAATCCCCCCCCCCTTACTCCCCAGAGGAAAAAAAGACATCTTTTTTATAGTGCAGCACCCCCCTCAGTGAGCAAAGTTCCTTAAATTGCAAATACCCATAGACACATTAATTTTTAACATTCCTTTTGTTCGGAAGTGTCCCTTAAATACTGGTATTATTTTTGATGAAATTCATGGATGTTTGGTTCATTTGGTTTCAGATTAGTCGGCGAGAACCAGATTTTAAGCCAGAGACTCTACTAGACTTTGGTTCAGGCACTGGAATGGGAGTGTGGTAAATCAAATTTGAAGATGAGAATTTAGATTGGGGCAGGACATTTACATTGGTTCCCACTGTTCTTAACCCAGCTCAGGGATTTGATATTAAGCACAAGTTTTGAAAGTCTGTCAACCTCCTTCTGTTAGATTCTAAAAGTGAGCAGTTCTTGACAGGAAACAGATCACCATTGCGCATAGGAAAATTCATAATATAAAAAATATTTGAGGTTTTGGTCAGGATGAACAAAGCCGTCTGTTAGGAGGGTTTCTGTACTGCAGAATTTTACTCTTTTGTAAATTATGGAGAAAAAAATCTTTCAGATAAAATATCATTAGATAAAAAATAAAAATTTTAGCATTTCCTGAAAGATAACATTATCTTTTAATTTTCTTATATTAATATAATTGTAGGGCAGCTCATGAGAAATGGGGCGACTCAATCAGGGAATTTCAGTGTGTGGATGTGTCGCAGGATATGAACAATGTAGCTGAATATCTCTTAAGAGGTAATGACCGGTATCTTTGACATTTAAATAATAAGTGTCAGACCTTCTTTGTGGGTATCTAAGAACTGAGAATTTGTTGCTCCCTTTGTTAAGAGTCCTTTAGTCTTCCTGGTAAAGTGCAAACATGTTATTATAGAGCTCAACATTTCACGTCCTACAAATAATAACCTCTAAAGAAGTAGAGTGGAACCTCTCTGCAAGGGCCATGTTGGAGACTACTACTACTACTATGGCCGAGCAAGAGCATGCCTCAACCCAGCACGCCTCCTCCAGGTCTCACTATCCAACATAGCTGCTCTCAGCTCTTCTGTGCTTTTTTCATTGGAGAGAGGTACCAGTATGGGCCCTTATTTGAGAGGTAGCTGTGTTAGAGATGTGTAAAAAAGGAGCCTCAACTCTGAGCTTGCTGACATTTGACATTTGCATGAAAGAGTAAAGAAATTAATCAGTCATCTTGGTCCTTAAAAGGGCTCAAGAGGGTTTAATAACAGATGCATTTTATGGCTGCGAAAAAGTCGAGAAAATGTTCTGTTTTTGTGATTTAAAAGACAGTGCATATACAGCAGTTAAAGGGATGCAGAATTCTAAATAATTATTAGGTTTAATTATGTCCCTTTGATGAAAATAGACCCCTAATGACCTTTATACACCAGTCTAATACTCTGCTCACTGAGGATCTCAGTATGTGCGAGATGAATTGCTTGCTGAGTGAGTGAAATGATAATTATGCTGCATGAAGAACATTACAAGCACTATTCATTTTTGTTGTTCTTGTTATTTGACATTCAGGTGGGGAAGGACTCAATAAGTCTCTTCACATTCCAAGAGTGTATTTCAAAAGATTTTTACCTGTTTCCAATTTGGTAAGTTTATGCGGAAATAAATTTAAATTTCAATACTTAATTATCCTCTTCCCTTTTAGGGCTTTTCAGGGACAATGAAACAAACAATTCAAATGGTGGATGACAATCCCAGCTGGTAGACGAAAAACCACCTGGCTATTTTACAAGTGGTGATGATGATGATGATGATGATGATGAATTATTAATAACTTGTATTACCTGATGTCTACTTTTATGTACACAGATCACCTATAATGTCGTAGTAGCCTCCTATGCTCTAAGTGAAATTCCAAAGGTTTCCCTGAGGCAAATGGCCGTTAGAAGCTTATGGGGAAAAACAAGCGACTTTTTGGTAAGTTTAAATCGTTGTCCGGTTTTTGTTGTTGTTGTTGTTTTTTTTGGGCAAAATTGAGGCTTAGAATGCTTTTATTTGTAATTGGTGGTTTCAAACGGCGACCGGAGACATAATTACCATCACAGTTATACTCTAAATTGCGTTTTAAGACTTGTTGGGTGATCTTATGCAACCACAAAGGCAACGGCGGTGAGAACATGAAAATCAATAGGATTTAAAAAGGATTTATGCACGTGCATCACACTTTTTGTTACATTTCTGTGCTGCCATTACACGATTAGGCCTTAAAACTTCCTGATGGGACGTTTTGACAAGGACATAAACATTCGACGACGAAATTGTCTTTCCCTAAATTGAAACTTGTATGCGTCCTGTATAAAGGCGTTATCGTCAGAACAATTCTTCTGCTCATGCCCATTTCAAATATTGACCTAGTTGGGGGAAGGGGGTGGCAGGGGGATTCAAACTTCCCACCTCCCAGTCCCGTAGCTTCCTAGGTCCCATTCCTTTTTTTCTTTGCTTCCTCCCTTTAGCCCTTTTTTGGTTCTGAAATATCAAGCATTTTTGCATAGTTTTCTCCTATCTCTCTCGCTCGTCGCCCTTTAAGCTTCGTCACCTTTCGCTCGTTCCTCCCCCTCCTTATGTACCTTTCTCGTCCCCATTCTCCCCAGTTGATGCTATTCATTAGAGAGATTAAGATTCACGTTTACGCTAAACGGCAGACGTGAATTTGTACCACGTGACCAAGTTTCCCCCCTATTTTCCGTTTACTATTGCTTCTACACAAAACTAAGTAGTTTTACGCCAGTTTTAACCATAGTAATCGTCCGGGACTGTTTTTATCTGCTTATTTTCTATTTTAAGAAATTCTCAACTCGAGTCTGATTTTTGCCGTTTGCGGTAAACGTGAATCTTAGTGTCTCTATTGTCGCAACCTTCCGACGTTACTAGAAATGGCTGTATGCTAACACTCACTAGTGACTCTGTAGCATTCATCAAGTGATTGGAATCGTCCGACAAGAAGGGGGCAGAATTCTCCCCTTCCCTCCCCGCCTTACCCCGCCCCGCCCCCATCATCCCTCTCAGCCTAGACAAACGAAATATTTTCTGTTCTGAAGGGTGCTTAAGAAGTGTTACTTCATAAAAACGTGAATTTATACTTGTTTTAGGTCATTATTGAACATGGGAATTCTGAAGGATTTGAAATAACATCTGATGCTAGAACTCTAGTCCTCAAGGTTGGCGCATTTGAACATATTTATATAGATATTTGCGCCTTATAAGTTTTGAAATTAAATTAGTTAAATTAATTAAGGTAACTTGGCCACGCCCAAACCGACGCAACAACTCCCAACATTGTTGGTCCAAGAATGTTAGTAGTTGTTGGATTGTGTTGGCAGTGGTTTGAAGACGGATGTAACAAAACCCAACTATGTTGGGACTTGCAGTACATTATGGCTTAAAACTGGTAAGTTACCAGAATTCGAGCGACGCTTATTATGTTCAAGGAGGCCATTTGTCTTGCGCTTGTTTGGCCCAACCAGTCCAACAATCTTGGAAGAGCTGTGCAGAAGGATCTTTTGTTGCGCTACATTTAGGCGATCACGAACAAAAGAAATATTGTCGGGTAGTTGTTGGCTCATAAGTTTGAGCGGTAGTAACCGAAGGTTGCGGAGTGCGGGCTTTAACGATGGAAGGTCAAAACGCTCTTGCTGTAACGCTGCCGATTGCTTACGTTTCACGTGACAGATGGTCAAAACACCGGTGATCAGATTACGACTGATAGAAGGTCCGAACGCGCGTCAGATCAGATTGCGTTCTGCGCATTCCATTCATTCTTAGTGGCTATGTACGTGCCGTGCATGCGTATAAGCAACGTGAAGATCAGGGTTGCGGGCTCCTCTTGCTGCCCGCAATAAATAATTCTTAACTAGTTGTGAGTTATAATTAAACGTCCGCTAAAGCACACCAAACTCCGGTCCCGCGGGAAATTCATCGATAAAACCGTGCATTGATTTTGACTTCCTGTAAGTCGTCCCTTCTTATACTTCAAAGCGATCTTTCTTCTCGAGGTCGGTTGAAAGTAACATCAATTCCCTTAAGAGGACAGTAAAGCAAAACTACCACAAAAAGTCCTTATATTCTCTGTTTGAACAGAAAGCAAATTGTAACAACTGTATGATTTTGTTTACTAAAGATGGATGTAGTCTCTCTCTTTATAGTTATAAGTCAACAGCTTTTGTAGGGTGGATTTCCACTGTCGCGTATTTTTTGCGTGCGGAAATGAAATAGAGGCAATGTACAAAAGGTCGCGTGTAAACGTAAAAGTTTTCGCTTAACCTTTGCGTTTACAGGCAACACTTCATACATTGCCTCTATTTTATTTACGCGCGCGTGCGCACGCGGGTAAAAATCACGCGACAGGAGGAAATCCACCTTTACTCCAATTTTTATTCCTGAGTTCTTGTAATAGTGATCGCTTGAGGTTTATCCATCCTTCAAAGCAGGAAAACCTGTTCCTGGCCCCGAGGGTGTCCGCGTTTGTGGGAGATAAGTATTTGTATATTTTGTTGGGAAAAGCTAAAAGTACAATTTTCAAAGTAGTCTTACGATTCCAAATGGATTAATTCGTATCATTAGTTTTATAAAATTTCTGTATTCACGTTACAGGAGGGAGGGTATGAAACTGCAGAAGGCGAAACTTCAGCAAGTGAGTATAAATCTTATGTTTTATTAGTTGCTTTGAGAAAAGTGAGTTTCTCCAATAACAAAGCCTATTTGAAATGAATGCTGTCACGGTGATGAGATTTGTATCAAACAGTATTTGTGTTGCTTGTAGATGAAGAGCATCAGTTCTTCGACCCGGCAGCTGAGGAAATGGAGAAGGGTTTCGTTTTTTCTCCTGTAAGTTTCTTTTAAAGTCATCTACCGTTTTCCTCCAATAAGCACCCTTACCCGAAACCGTAATATCAAACAACCGCCCCTCTCGAATAAGTGCCCCCCTCCCCCTCACTTTATTTGATGCAAGGAAAGCCTGTACTTATTCCACTTTATTAATGAGATAAAAGATATTTGATAGCGATGATATTTTATGAGATAATCGATAGTTAATTTAATATTATAATATATAATTAGAAACTCATAAGGGGTTGAATCAACCCCTAATGAGTTTCTGATATAATATAATTAATGAGATAATCGATATTTGATAGCGATGATATTTAATAGACATGCATGCTGATACACCTGCATCTTAATTGTCAGGAGCAGTGTATAATGTAACCTGAGATCAGGCCCAATTTAAGCAGCTTCCATACTTTCTCTCTTACGTGGTCGCGCTAAAATCGATTCGCCTTTCCCTCCAGAATTTTATTTAAAAAGCGAAACGAAAATAGAGCCTGATCTCAGGTTACGTATAATGGGAATACGATTCGCTTGATTACCAACCACTGTTTTAACAAATGAGAGACCTGAAAATTGACTAAGCGTTTCAAGGATAATGTTGTAGTCTTTGTTTTCCTATTAAAGATTTAGCCAAAATAAAGTTACAGTTCGTTGAAAGGAAAACTTAATAAGCACTCCTCTCAATTAAGCACCCTCCTTCCAATAAGCGCCCTTTCATTAAGCACAAATTTTAAGCGGAAATACGGTAAAAATTCCACTGTTTCACTCATCCTTCTTTCATACCTTCTTGAAGAAGGCAAGTAACATTGATGGGTAATGGTCGGCGATGGGAAAGGAGACAAAGTTTAGAAGCATTGTCGTAGTTAGTTCCTTACAAAAAATTCATCTTATAACCTACCTTACTTTTTCTAGTGTCCTCACGATGTCGAGTGTGCAAGATCTGACGCGGAAACAAGAGACCATCCATGTAACTTCGAGCAAAGAGTTCAACTGGCCTTCTCCCAGGTAATGTGTCCTCATCCTTAACCCATTCGACCCTGGGAATTTCTTTTTGAAGATAGTCGCGCCGTTTTCTGGTCACTGCCTTGCCTTTAAGAGCTAAAACGTACCAAAAAGCCGTTTACCGGTCGAACACTGTGCGGCCTACTTTTCCAGATTAAAAAATATTGCTTTCCGAAGGTCGGTCATGCCGAAGTGACACAACAATCTCGAGTTTTACCTTTTACTTTCCTTTCTCCCCTCTTTTTTCGCTTTTCTTTTCTTTTTTTTTTTTCGCTGGATGCTTACTGGTTTCGTTTTGACGGGGAACGTTTTTTGGAAAACCTTCAGGAGGAAAGAGGTGCGGGCGGGTAGTGGAAAACGATTTTCATAGGAATTTTTGGGTCAGCTTAGCTATTGTTTTTTGCCTTTTTGGTGAATCAGCGCCTTGGCTGATTGGATCTGATTTATGTTTCCAACAGAAAAATACAAGGTTAAAGAAGTACGGATTTCACACGGAGAGATTTTCGTACATAGTTCTTAGAAAAGGTCAAAGAGATCCAGTCGGTAAGTAAACAGGGTCACTGCAACAGCGCGTGGCGCCACTACGTGGGCTTGTAACAGTCCCTCCCTCCATGAGAGATAGACCACCACACCTCGGACTACGTCCCCAACTCTCTTCGAACAGTGGGTGGGTTCTTTATCGTCCCACAGGATTTACATGTGTAAGGGTTGTGAGACGGGGCCTACGGTTTATCGCCCTTATCCGAGAATACTAGAAAGTCTAGCCGTTTGCAGATGTATTTACCAAGGCAGCACTTTCTCCTCAGTTATTTAAAGACTCTGAGTACAGTGTTGGTCTGGCCGGGGTTTTAACCAACGGCCTCCCGCTCGGCAGGCCGGCGCTTATCCAATTGAGCTAACTGGGCGGCAGTTTACCTTCTGATTGGTTTCATATTTTTTTTTCTTTTTTTTTTTCAGAGAAAGCTTGGCCGCGTGTCTTGCAACCCGTGAGATTGAGAAGGAGACATGTTATTTGCAAGCTTTGCTGTAGCTCAGGTACGTTTGCGTTTTAGCAAGGGCTGTAGACAAAATGTCAAATTTCACAAGAATTGTGAAAACACAGGTAAAATTCTGAAAATTTCATGTGTAAGATGTCATTTTGGGAAATTTGACATATTATTAGAAATTTTCTTTGGTGTTATTACACATAACTAATTACATCTATAGCCCCTGAAAAATGTAAAAAAGAATATGATATCGTTTAAATTATTCTGGCACAAGGGTTTTGTCCACTGAAAATTAAAATTACTCAGTTTCCTGATGGATTCTGTCTTAAACCAACTGCTCAGTTTCTTGAAAAATGATACCCTATTCTAGACCGAAACTCCCCGATGTCTACACCCTACTCCAGAAGAAGCCGCTTGAAAACCATACCCGTCACATAACTTTATAGCCCATATATGGCAGTACCCCTCGCCGGGAAAAATGGTTAAACCTAGCCTGTTGTTTTTGATTTTAGGTGACTTAAAGCAAAAGATATTGACCAGAAAGAAGGATAGGTTTGTAAATATTATATTATTTTTCAAAAATACGGTAACTCCATGCGAGCCAACCATTCGAGTCCTAAGGATTTAGCCTGGCAAAATTTAAGTTCAAGCAAAACATGGTAACCAAAGAAAATAGGACACTTTTGCATATACGTTATTTTTCCATGATAACTCCATGAGACAAACCATTTGACCTGTATGGGTACCCACAGGAAAAAAAGTGCAGACCACTGGATACTGGCAGTAAAGATTTTCCCTGCCAAAAGTTAACTACAGTCCATCAAATCGGACATAAATCTCGTACCCAGATCGCTTGTTGACGAAGCCGACTGTCAGTGTGTCAAGTCAGTTAAATCCTATTTGTGTAGTTTTTCCAGCTACTCACTAAGGTTGCGTCCTACTGGCAAATATGGATTGAGATTTAGAAATCCGTAATCCCTGGATCACCCTTTTTACCGTTTTATTTTAAGAGAAATCCGTAAAAGGATAGTGAAAACCTGTTCTCGCCTTCTCGTGAACAGTGGTCTTGATGTGAGCACGTACGAGACCACTGTTCTTGAGGACATTTTTCCATTCCTTTTTAGTATTTCCCAAAAAAAAGAAATGGATAGAAAGAAAATACAAGGGCAGATTTCTTGGCCTTTGAATCCGTTTCTGAATTTCGTGTTTAATTGTAAATCTGAAGTCCACATTTCAAAATTTAAATCCACACTGTGGATGTAGATTTTGAAATGTGGGAAAGTTTCCCAAACGAACACATCCTAAGAAAGCCGTTTTTTGTGTTTTCACGCATCGCTTTCCCCCCACAAATGTGCTGAGGTCAGACCACACAAATGTACCAAGTCCGAGTTGCCTTAATCAAGTTTCTGTTTCAAAGCGAGGCTAAGTGCAAAGCTGTTTATACGAAAATGCTTTTCATATTCCCATGCAAATACATGTAAACCTCATTTTCACAAGAAAGGTTTAACAGTTTTGAAAGTGAGAGTGTTTGGAACTTGGAAATGACCTGTTGATGTGGTTTTCGTTTTTTTTTTTTCCAGCGACATTTACAAGTGTGCTCGGCACTTAACAAGGTGGGGTGACTTGTTACCGGATCCAGAAGATAGGCAAAGACCAGTGAAAAACAGGTCAACTCTTCCGAAAGAAGTCAGTTCTTCTCAATAAAGAGGAGCAATTAAAACTAATAAATGAGCCCCCCCCCCCGACCCCCCTTCCCGATAATTACGGTAACAGCAATAATAAAAACAAAAAGACGATCTACATACATCAGTTTTACATGGAATGATTAAAATGAAAATTCTTGTTGTTTATGCCGACTCACGCTTAATTATTCCAATCGATAGCAGGCAACAAGACTGTCTTTTGCATGCCTGCTAACACGGTGTATGGTGGGACATATTTTCTGTCAGTCCCGTGTTGTATCCTCCAAGTACATCCCCCTTCGTCTTGGGCATTTGTAACAAAAGGTTCCCATAACTTCTCCCTTAAATCTTCTGCAGAGGTTACCCTTTCGCAGGCTTATTTTCTGTGTTGATGGCAATATTTCTAGAAAAAAAAAACGTAGTTTTTTGTGGTGCTTAAGCACTCGTAATAATGTGAAATAGATTTTCCTATTTTTAGGAAATATCAATTACAGACAAATTCTCCACAAATGCTCATGTTGGAGCAACACTTGACAAATGCCCGGGAGGGATAAGAGCGCATGGAATTGACTGAGCAATAATTACTAACGGCGGATAGTGCAATTGGTTTCCCTAATACCTATCCACCGGATAGTGGTTTATCCGGTGAATAGCGGTGTCCAGATATCTGGATTTTACTACGGAATGAAAGCAAAAACAAGTATGATTAATATTTTTAGAGTTTATTTCGTTTTTCATATTCCGGAATACGGTCAAGTGAACGGTCGCTAATGGATCTACAAAACCATCTCGACACTGTACATCAGAAAGACCTGTTTTAGCCCTTAAAATGGGGCCGTTTCGGTGAGTAAAATACAGTCCTATTTCTGAGTCTAATTTGGGTCCCTTAAATCAGGGCCGATACAGTCCAATTAGCTAGGGCTAATTTGGTCGCAAGGGCTGAAATGGGCCCTAGCGTGGGCTGTAATAGCCTTTTGATTGAGCTTTTTTGGCCTAAATTGTCCCCAAATGGCTCCAGGAAGGGCTGAATCAGACTTTGGCCTGCAGGGCTGAATTGACACTTTAAGGCTGAAACAGATCTTTTTAATTTTCAGTGTATCTTTGGAGAGATTTAGAGTCGCGTTTACGGCAAACATTAATTTGTATCACGTCTCGAAGTTTTCCTTAACTTGTGCTTCACTGTCCATTACGTCTACCTGAAAATAAGTAGTTTCACGTTAGTTTTGTCTAAAATAATTGTTTTGGGCTGTTTTAGCTGCACGTTTTCTATTTTAGAGAGTTTAAGCTTCACGTGTTCTGTAAACGTCAGATTCAAGTTGAGAATTTCTCAAAATAGAAAATGAGCAGATAAAAACAGCTTAAAACAATACTTATGGATATGACATTGCGTACAACTACTAGTTTATGTGTAGAAATAACGAACAGTAAACGACAAGTAAAGGGGAAACTTGGTGACGAGGTATAAATTTGCGTTTGCCGTTTGACGTAAACGTGATGCTTAACCTCTCTTTAAAAGAAATTCTTAACGTCAATCCGACGTTTGCCGTAAACGTCACTCTCTCTTTTACCTCTCTATTCCTGGGAGTATAGGAGTAGTTAGGTCTAGTTATACCCACATGCAGTACAGAAAATATGTAGGGGTATAGATTTTGGTGGACGTCGAGGTACACAGGAATATTTGAATTGAACAACGGATTATTACTGAGCTTCCTCGTTCTTCTAAGTTCCAACATTTTCTAAGTGAATTTAAGCTTACAAAGTGGTCGTATTTATACTAAACTATAAAGTATAGTTTCTAAGAAAGGTCAATAGTATTCTTATGCGTAAAAGTAAGAGTTAGGAGGTGGTAGAACTGATAGAACAAAAGATACCGAATTTAGTTGAATTCAGCTGCAGTGTGGAAAAAGTTTTGCAAAACTGTAAATATCTCTATAGGCAAATTCCCATACAAGAGGGTACAACGATGGTTTGAAAGAAACCATTTCTTTTTTAAAGATTCTGTCGAAAGAAATTAGAGTTTGAAAGTAGAAAGTCTAGAAAAGTAAGTGAAATTTAGCTGAAAATAGCCCAACTGAGAACAAAGAACCAAAAAGGTGTTAGGTCGCGTGGCCCCAACAAGATTTTAATGAGACAATTGGGAAATTCAGGGTTAAATAAACGAACTTCGTTAACAGAAAAAGCTTATTTTCCCATTCCATAGCTGAATACATCTACTAAGGGAAGTAATTATTTCTATCTTTCGAACTGGTTTCTGTTTCTTCTTGAAGAGGTGTTTCTTAACCTCAATTAAACCTTTAATTGCGAAAGACTGAAACCACACTGTCTTATGATGTTTCCCACAATTAACCGTGCGTCCAACTTTCATTTTCTGATTGATCCCAACACCAAAGAGGTCGGTGCAAAAATCTTTGGTCAAAGACTCAACTGACCAGCAAAGGTTTGGTAGTAGAATCTAAGGGCCTGTTTACATGTCGGTTGGGGATCCCAGATGGGTGAGGTAACATTTAGCGGGTCACCCCACCTATCATGTAAACGTGGTCAGATTAAAATGAGAGATTATATGGACAGGTGGGTTACCCCACCTAAACGGGTTACTTCACTTACCTGGGGTCCCCCACCTCCATGTAAACAGGCCTGACAGCTTGTAAACACCATCCTTTGGCCATTAACAAAAGATATTTGAGATAGAGTGGAACTTTTGATTTCCGAACCGATCTAAAAACAAACTTTTTTGTATGTTATATATCCCTGAATAAAGTTAAAATGCCCAACACCGAAATAGAATAAACTGAAGAAATATTCATGATTACGAAGAGAGCGCATCCAATAAAGCAGACTGCTGAGCAAAAATGTACCCTAACAAATATTAGCCCACTGCAGCCGGACGTCGGGCTAGCTTCACGTCCTTTAGTTATTGTTTCTGATCCAAAGTGCCCATCAGTAACTCAATGCCAGCCATCGTTTCGGCAAAGAGGGCGAGGTCTGCTCTAAAAGCTCCGTCGACATGTGCTGCAGCCAGCACGATAACTTTCCCAGTGCTACTCTCATTTATTTTCTCCGCCATCGCAAACAGTTCCTGTCTTGTGCATCTCAGTATTTTGCTTGTCGTCATCAAAGACACAGGGTAACCAAGCTTTGCCATATAAGGCGAGATTAACAACTGAGCCAAAGCCCCTGGAAGCCTGCAATTGAGATCTACCAGATAACCGTGACGCTCTCCGTTCTTCTCTAGAATCTCAATGTTGACTATTCCAAAGTACCCAGAAGAATGGAGGAAGTTTTTGACGGGCAAGATAAATTCTTCGTAAACCGCTTCCTTCAACTTCTCTTGCCTGGTCCAGTCACCCACTGCAGCAGTCCAATTGAAATAGTTTGAATCAGCCCCGGTCAAGCTGCCCAGCCAATGGATGTAGCCTGATTTGAACACGTAGAAATAATATCCCATGGTCACAGCATCTGGTATGTATTCTTGCAAAATGTACTTTCCCTTCCAGTTGCACTTGTTTCTAATTTCTGCCACCACCTCTTTCAGCTGATGTGAATTGCGAACCAACCAGTTTCCGCATCCACCACCGGACTGATCGACTTTGAGCATGCAGGGAAATGTGACGTTTTCTTCCTTCATGAGTCGAGGGTTGGGTACTCCAATTCTCGGGATCGTACTTTTAAGAAGCAACTCATTATGCAAATCAGGATCGATGACATGCTTCATGGCTGGCAGAGACTGCAGCGGCCCAGTGGTCACGACTGGGATATCGTCTGCGAAGCCATCTTCGACGGATTTTACTTTTGCGGCTGGAAAAACTGGCAACCACGTTTTCCAGTGATTCGATTGGAGAGCATCAGGCTTGATGTCTGACAGGCTTGGAATGGCGTCACCAATCGTTGCCAGATGTCTGATAGGTCGCATTAAATCCGACTCTTTTGTGTCTCTCAGAGCGTAGTCGAAATACATGTACTTGTTGTCGTTATAAAGCCTGGATCCTTTGCAATAGGAAGATCGGAGATAAGGCAAAAAGTAAGCTTTATCCAAGTCTTTTACGATGAGTTGACTATAAGAGTGTACCTTGTAAACGTTGGCCATGACGACTCAGAAATAGATAATTACCGAATCCCAAGGCGTTATTTGGGTATAATGCAGGCAGCTGAGGCCGCAGGCCAAAGTAATTTTCTATTATAATTATTGTCTCTTCTTTGCATTATATCGACGATTTTTGTCGCCTCCACATTGATATTTCGGTACATGGACAATGTAATTAGCATGTATTGTGTAGCAGTGCTAGAAATTGCATAATATAATACTTTGCATTCCCCAATTCAGTCATGGATGATAATAAAGGTGATGTAGCTTTCACCACTTGTCAGATTAATTTTCCTATCTCATGTATTTGTGAAAACGGTGTTATTGAATCAAAAATATAAAAAAAGAAAAAAACAGTGAAAAGCAGGTCAACTCTTACGAAAAAAGTCAGTTCTCTTCCATAAAAAGGATCAATTGAAACTAATAAATGACCTGTCACCAAGTTACCAATGGATTACAAAGCCGTAAACCTCCCGCCAAACTTTCAGTCGAAGAAAGTTGTTCACAAGCGGCCCAGGCTCGGTGAATAAATTACCGTGTGTTTCGATACTGTTTTGCATATTACGAACGATTTGCAGACTTGTATGAAATTAATATAGTTGTTAAAACGTAGAATGATGGGTATAACTGTAGAGATATATTTCATTTAACTAAACTTGGGTTTGTTGTTACTTTTCCGGTGTAACCTGGGCTCAATTCATGGCTATTTTATACGGTTTTGCGGCTCGTTGTTTGTTTGTTCAAGGAAAGTGTGCAGTTTTCAACAAAGCCCGTAAGTAGCTGTTTCCCCAGTCTAGAAGATAAAATCTTCAACCAACTGATCAGCTGAAAAATGATACCCTATTCTACCCAAACGCTCTGATTTATATACCCTATCCTAGAGTAAACTGCTTGAAAACCATACCCTTAACCCATATAGCCCATAATCAGTACCCCCGCCGGGCAACAAAGACTGACTGCGCACCGATTCGCCTTGAAAGTGCCAAATCCTTAAGGCAAGGTGAGTCTCTTATCTCTTCTGTTCGCTCGATGTGCTTTTTGTGGGGAAATCTTATTTTAGCAAAGGTACATTGTTTTTTATTAATCTTGACCTTAGATTCCATTTTACAGTTCAGCTGCTTCCCACTTTTTCACGTTAGGTCATCGCCGCCATGCTGGTGGACGGTAAAAAACGATCGCTCATTAGCTCGCTTTGTTTGTCCACCAGCATTTTTTCATTTCACCATTGTTATTTGTGTCTCCCGAGATTGCATGAAAACCACCTATAGAACATATTTTTGGGAAACATCGTCCCTAAATCTAGCCAAACAAACCAGTACTTAAATGTCCCTGTTACTTTCATGTTAACGTGGAATCTGCCTCGTCAACATCGATCTTTCTCTCAACAGCGCGAAAGAAACACGTTAAAAAAGCCATTTTTTGCGGTTTCATGTTGGTGTGAAATGACAGCTAATTGGCTAGCTCTCTTGCCTTGGGTATAGAAAAACCTTAACTATTTACAACGTTAAATGTCATGGGCGGTTTCTTTTTTACGTAGCCTTGGTTATTTTTCCTTTGTAAATTTATCTCGGCAAAGTCCGCTCACACCCACCACACTTCTGTAAATGCACCGTCTTTTAAATATAAAGAAACCTCTAAACTAGAAAATTTTCAAGTCCTTCTCTAAGCCATTTAATGCGCCTGGTAAGTCGTAACCGTCCCCTGAAGTCTCTTCACAGACCGCAATGACAGATTTCCCTCCCCTTTCATATACTTCAACCATTGAAATCCTTACCCTTTTATTCTTGGAGCTTGAAAAAATAATTACACAGGTCACCCTGGCATCAACTGATATCGCATTCGGTGGAATTCACGGAGGGCGAGTGGTGTTGGCAGATCCTCTGGTTGCAAAATTATTGCATAATGCATTCTTTGATAAAGAATATACTTGTCCGGCCTGAGGTGAACAAAGTTTTTCAAACAGTAGTGCCACAACTGTCCGCGAGCAACCCATAAAGGTCCTTTATGACCTTCCTCCCCCCTCCCCTCCCCTATTTATTCTTTACTAATAAATGATAGACTGTATAAATCAACCACGACTGTAAAAATTCGTGTAGAATGATCAAGGATGGTTTACTTACTTACTAGAACATCGGATTTCATTCTGACCTTCGGCTGCATGACCTAAAACTTCTTGTACTTGACAAAAGTCCTTGGGACAGTAATGCAATATTCATATTTTCATGTCATTTCTCGGTTCCCTCTTAAAACAGTGCATCCTTTTCGAAATTCTCTTGTAGTTCTCTCTCCCCCCACCCTATACAAAGTTGAAACTCAGAAAAAATTCTGGATACACGCGTCCAACATTGTTTGTGGGGTGAGGGGAGGTGTTGGACCTGTGTGAATTGGAAAACGCCCCAGAAACGCAGAGGTGTCCCAAGACTTTTGTAAATGATTGCATTTTTTTTATGGAGAACTGATACCATCGTTGTTTCTAAATCAAATAAGCCCCCGTCGCTATTAAGCCCCCCCCTCCATCACCACGCTCACCTCAAATGGGCTTGAAGTAGATAAGTCCCCCGGGGGGCTTAATAGAGGATTTACGGTAAGTGAATATTTGTCCTACCTAACATGACTGAATTGGACTAGCATTCTATTTCAACCCTCGCTTCTCTTAAAATTTATCTTGTAACACTTTTACCACGCTTAAAATACTTAGAGGGACCATAAGTTACGCAACATCGAAGAGAATCCGCTCCTCCGTTTTCTTAATTGACCTCTACAGAAAATGCCATAACATGCTTTATTGGTCATTCCAAACTTTTGCATAAGCATTGTTTTCAGTTTCTCTTGGTGTCATTTTAACTCCCGAGAGCCTGAAGACAATGCTTATGCAAAATTTTGGATTGACCAACAAAGAGTATGTTATGCTATTTTCTGTGGTGGTCAATTCGGCATTACCATGCTAAACTTGGATTTTCTTCTCACCCCCGCTAAATCCTAGTACCACTCAAATGTAACAAGTAAATACTGAAAACACGTACCTTTTTTAAGTCTAACATTATACTGGCTTGCACCAAACGACTGTTTTCATTGGAACAACCATTGGAAACAAGTCAACTGGTCGTGTGCCTGGAAAATCCTTTCTCTGTTTTCTATATAACAACCGTTGCCAACTCTTACGATGCTTTACGAGAAACTTTTCCTTCTTTCCTTCTCTCTTTTATTCTTTTAACCGATTTTGAAAACAAAACCAGCGTGAGAGAGTGATGGCGTAGCATAAGAACGAGCTTGAAGCGCGAAAAAAAAAATGTTCCCATTTCCCCACCCCCACTCCCTTACGCTGGCAATCAACAAATCCCCTAGAATGTTTTCATATGCACACAAGTTGATGTCTTAAAAGAAAAATAGAGGGTCTGTGAGCAGGCCACGCAAGGCCTGAACTAATCTTTAAAGTCAGGAGCCATACAATTCATCAACTTAAACAATCGACATACTTTATTTTTTCAGTCTTTTTCATTACATAGCACAATGTTAACCTATGCACCAACATGTTTAACTTATTTTATAACATAGCTAGAGAATTCCCCTAATCAAATTCAATAGCGCGAGCGTGCTTCATATTCCTATTGAGCACGCTGATGACGTCAATAACTTAGCAATCCTGAGTCTCCTGAGTGCATCCATAACTCGGCAGTACACGACAAAGCGTTTACCATGTGTTTTATAAGGAAATTTAAGAGGAAACGTTTGAATTTGTTAACCGAAAGTAAGGAAAAGAGGTGAGTGTTGTTGTTTTTGTTGTTGTTGTTGTTGTTGTTGACATCTCCGCGAGCAGTGCGGGCCATGGCGTGAGATCATTCTTTGCAAAGTTTTTTTCTCTCAATAACAATTTTTCGGTGAATTAATAGTTGTCCGGCACCTAAATATGTATTTTACAATCATTTTAGAGTACACTTTCTCTCAGTTTCAGGATAAAAACATAAGCTTAACTGTGAGGAAAAAAATATACTCACGTAAACATTGACGCGTACTGCTTTGTTTGAGCGCGCCCTACAATAATAAAATTTTAAGTTAACTGATGCATTGATCGCTTTGATAATGTTATAAAACAACTAGTTCATGCGTCAGCTGTGCGTATGTCGAGATATTGAGCACTTGGGAAGTTTGGGGAGCACTCAAGAGGCTAGAGTTGCACTCGGCTGCGCTTCGTGCAACTCTTACGCCACGCCTCTTTCATGCTCTCCAAACTTCCCGCGTGCTCAATACCTCGACATACGCACGCTGACGCATGAACTAATTGTCAATTTTTCTTATTTTTACAGTGAGTGTTTAGTATGTTTAGTGAACTTTCGCTCAGCTCATAATTTGCTTACTAATTCGATTTTTACTGTGTTAAACTTAATCCATAAGTCATTAGATGGGGACCGTATCGATAATATCGATAATCTCCGTCGATGAGTTGAGTGGGGGAGGACAGGGAGTGGGGTGGGAAGCGGGAATAATAGGGGGAAATTACCAAACACTGCTAAAAATGTCGGAGAAAAAGTTGTTCCTTCTGTACGCAACGAGGCACAGTCATTACGTACAACAAAAGAAACAATACAACCAAACAATAAAGCCCCAGGAGAACTCTATTATTTGGTTTTTTTGTGATGACGGTACCTGCAGGAAGACCCAGAAAAAAGACGGGAGTCGGGAATACAAGGAACGTGAAGGGGTAGCTTTGGAGCCCGAGCCGGGTACTCCCTTATATAGGCCACCATATAGGTATGTGCCGCCCCGAAGGGTATGGTTATGGCGCCGTTTTGGCCTGAGAACGGATATAGATTTTGCCCATTTTGGTCTGGAATCGGGTATGGTTCACAAGGGAACTACGGTAGTGTATGAATGTGTTCGTCGTTTCAATTATAAATGAATAAGAAAGAAATCCTTTTGCTAGCGTTCTAATCTCAGTAATGATGACATAATTCCTGTCAATGTTAACACGCATGTTGCGTTTTGTGACCACCACCAGGTCTGAAAACGGGTGTGGAAGATGATGTGAAAAATGACATTTTTTGGTCGGAAATAGGGTCAGGATTCGGAGAACCGGGCGGTACACCCCCACCAAGAATGCTCAGGAGTACCCCCCGGGGGTCGCACTTCCCTGTCCCCTGCCTTTCATAAGATGTATAGGTTATTGGGAAACCGTCGGCCCTAAGCAGCGCTCGTTATCAGCACTAACTCCAGGAGGAACATTATAGTACGTGTGGGCTTCATTGTGCTTGTTTACATCCAAATATGGTGCATCTCTCTGCATGATCACCTCCAGTTTTTCTATTAGCTGGAAGAAACTGGGACGAAAACATGGGTCTTCCTTCCAACATTCTGTCATCAAATGATATCTGTTGTAGACAATTAAAAACAAACCGACCAATAATTCTTTTAAATAAAAAAACCTCCCATTAGAGCATTCTTTTTAGAAAATATTTAATAACGGCCCACTCTGCGCTAACTGAAGGAATTGAGAGAAAAAACGGTTCTGCCTTATATAAAATGGTCAGTGATAGCAACTACAAAGTTTCAACTAGAATGTTATCTTCCATTCTAACACTTTTGCCAAGTTTTTCATCATTTTAAAGGTGTATAAGAACTTAGCTGACGTTGCATTGCATTCAACACTTTAAAGTGGGTGGTTAAAAGCTGATTGCAATTACTTAATTTGTCAACTAACTTTTTGTGTTTGGTTATCCTTATCTTTATCTAGTTCATGTAAGAGTGATTCAACAACTTTAATCGACACTACAGCTGCAATAACATAAAAAATGGCCAAGCTCGCAGTTGGGGGCAGGAAGTGTAACCTCCCACGCAGACGTTCTTAAGGCCCCGTCACGCGTGACGAAGCCCTTAGAACGCCTGTTTAGGAGGCTACGGGAGAGACTGACGTCCTCCGTGCGTGAAACTTCAAAAAACTTGACTTCCGAGCTTTTTCTTCTTTGGAGGGAAAAAATACACTTGAGTGTATCTCTGTTTAAACGTCTAGCGTGATGGGCCTAGTACGGGCTTTGCATATGCTCACTCGGGCTCCTGTTCCACAAGAATGCTTCAAGACCTTCAATTTATCCGCTCACGGAGTCTTCCATGTACATGTGCATCGATCATTGTTGAGTCAGGAACCCTTTTATTGCACCAGGAAAATTTGTTTTCTTAATTTGCTGGTCGTATTCAAAGGACAATATCATACTAAACCCTTTTAAAGTAAAATTTAGCTGCAATCTTGACCAGAGCCTTGGGATCTTATCTTGTCGCCTGTAGTCATGCGCCAAAAAGGAGAGCTCTGGGGTGGAAATGAATTTAGTCTTAAGAGGCCAAGGCTATAATTCTCTGTAAGATAATGGTCGGATCATTGAAGCACCAGATTAACTTACACTTCATCGGAGCACATGTCAGGCTTCTCCATACGATAACCGGAGGTGAGAAGCCGATACAGCTCTGTGTTGGTCAGTGTGGGATATGGCACTCCTCCTAAATTTCACAGAAGGAAAAAAAAACAGTTATTCATAAAAAGATGAAAAGTACGTTTTTGACAGCGATTTCCCGTCATCATGTGTTAACTCTGTTCGAGTTAACTTAGAATTTGGAACGAGAAAATTATTCCCCTTTTCCTTTCTCTATCGAACGCCTGTCGACACGCAGGCTAATTCACAGAAAGCAGTTGTAATGAGTAAATAGATAAGTATTCATACCTAATGTGGCCATTTCCCACAAGAGGACACCGTAGGACCAGCTATGAGAGAAAACAACAAAGGCTGTTAACGATAAATCAGCTCATAGATATAATGTTAAAATACTTGTTTCAAGCACAATATTCAGTGTTAATGAAATTTTTTGATGTTTGATAACTTAGAAAAAAGTTGCACACACATTATGTGGCCGTTGGGGATAAGAACGTATCACCACAGAGCGTCCGAGGCTCACAACAGCCACCTTGTAGCCAAATTTTAAGGATTTGTATGGGAATTAATACTTATCGTAATTAAGTTCAATAAAACGGTTTAACACACATAAACAGTCATTAAAATGTACATATTTCATTTCTTACACCGGCAAAAGAACCATGTTTAGACCATGTTTAACCATGGTTTTACCAAGGCTAAACACGGTTTCCATCCATAGTCTACCGTTGGTGTGGCATTCATATAACCATTATTTGACCATGGTCAGCCATGAACCTTAAATTGCACTGCTATGGTCAACCATGGTCAAACTGCTCTCTGATATAGGCAGGGATTGGAGTCTGAGATCGCTTGCTCAGATTACCCTTATTCGTTTTTTAATGCAAAATTTTTATTTAAAAAAGTTAACAGGTTCCTAAAAGAAGAGCGGGTTTTTTTTTATCAACCTTGTACTGTTTCCTTGGCGATCAGAAACCACTCGAAAAACAAGCCTTTGTATTTAAAAGTATCAAAAATGCTTATTATTTCAAATCGCGAAAAAGTTATCACAAATTACGTTTAGCTTTGCTTTAATATTACAAATTACGACAAAGTGTTGCTACAAATTAGGACAAAGTTCTTACACCTTGGGACAGGTGGTACTACAAATTACGACAGCTATTAAAAATTACAAAAATTCTTACAAATTACGACAGAACACCATCGCTAAAAAGTCATGTTTTAACATGGCCAAACGTGGTCATGAATTGGAAGCAGGATTGAATGAAAAACATGCATGAATTAACATGGTTAACCACGATCACTCAGGTAAATTAAGACCAAGAATGAAAATGGTCAACCATGGTTTCACGGATATCTATAAAAGAAAAGGTTCTCTGTGTTGTTTCCATACACTTTCCTAACTTTCTTAGGGCAGGAAACGGTAACAAGAAAACAACACAGAGACACTTCTTTGTGAGTCTATCGTACACTTCAATGAGACTGTTTAAATACATTTTAACCGTTTAATCGAACTTACAATAAACTCCCATAATTGAAATAATCATTTTAATTTGGTTTCATCAGGAGGCTGTTATGAGCCTGGGCTCCATGTAATATTACTAAAAGGCTATCTAAGCTAATGCATTCTATGTCAGCTATGTTTTAATTGAAAATTTTTGCTCACACGTCGCTCTTGATGGTAAAAGTGCCATTATAAAGTGATTCTGGAGCCATCCATTTAACAGGAAGTTTCTTGGATTTTTCTGAGTTATTCACATCTTGATAGATTTGTCGCATCAACCCAAAATCAGACACTTTCACTCGATTGTCATATCCAACGAGGATATTGCGAGCTGCAAGGTCTCTATGAACAAGATTTTTTTCGGCGAGATGATTCTAATTACAAAAATTGAGAAAGAGAAATAAACCATTACCACTGGATCATGGACAAAAAACTAAGAGAAGGAAGAGCTTATGATCATGCTCATCACGGCCCAGTTCCTCGAAACATGGTTATGTTTAACCCAGGATCAATACAATTTTTGAGCAAGATTTTCTTTTCTAGCTAAGGACACGCAATTCGAGCTTAAAAAATACTGTTGAGCCCTTACTTCGAGATACAGTAATGATAACACAATTTGTTCCTCTACGCAATACACAGGATCATTAGGTAGTGAATACAAAAATGAAGTGAACAAAATTTTCATCCTGGATTAGCTCTGATTGACCTTTCAGGAACCGGGCCCTTGATTCCAATCGTCAGCGGGATTCCGGATTCCTTGACCTTAATTACGGATTCCAACGCCCAGGATTCCGGATAACACAAACAAAAATTTCTCGTATTCAGGAATCCAGATTACCTCACATAGGTCGAAGTACGCTAACATTCTCTGGTGCGATAGGCAATAGCTGGATCGTTGTAATCTAATCTAAAGGAATAATACCTACCATTCCCTTTGCTATTTGCCAAGCAAATTTAAACAGTTGTTGAGTAGAAAAGCTTTCCTCCTCGTCATCTGGATCTTCGTCAAGGAGTAGGGGCGTGGCGGCAGCGTGCTGACTATCCACTGGTGGGATATTTGACATGTCTTTAGGTTCTCTTCTGGACTCTTTTAATCCCTTATACTAAACAAATAAATAAAATTCAACGCCTCAAGATAAACCGGAGAACGTACAGGCTTTATTTATTAGCGTTTTTCGGACGAAGGAAGGCAAGCGCGAAGCGAGTGAAGAACGCGAGACACGCGCGACGAAGAAGGTTCGAAGTAACTTGAAGGTAGTGTGGCGCTCTTGAAAGTTGTAATCATGGCTAGTTTTATTATAAGATGACATGTACTTACAGACGACGTTGATGAAGAACCAGTATGTACCAGATTAGAGGTGTAAGGTATAAAGAAAGGAAATCAGCTTTGTTCACTTCCTCCATTTTTTTTTTTTTAAATTAAGGAATACTACGCTAGAATTTTCTACTAGAATTTTCTGTTGAAAAGTTAAAAAAGGCCAAAGTTCCCCATGAGACATCCTAACAGATAAATCAGTCATTCTTAGGGCAGCTCCAAATTAACCAAACAGGCTTCTAAAACATTTGGTCATTGAAGGAGGCCCCTGATATATAAACAAACTGCATTGGCCGTTTTCTCACTTAAAAAAATGTTTCATCAAAGAAGTAGTTACTCTTTGGGCAGAAGCAGAGGTGGGGAGGTGTCTCAAAGGAAATCTGTGATACAGTATGACGTCACTTCTCGCGTCAGGGACTTTCAAAATGTCGAGCAAATTTTACGAGCAATCATACCGACCGATCACACTTTTGAGGGCCAGTGCACAGCAAGATTGAGGAGTTTAGACACAGCAATAGGAGGTTCATAAAAGGATGTATTATACTTTACATTGTGCGTATTTTCAGTTCTTCGGAGCTAGTGGAACCCCATATCATTCCTCTCAAAGTTCGCTTACCTGTAGCGTTGAAAGAGGAAGCTAAATGACAGGTATTTGTGAGAGACTGTGAGCATTGAATCTCGTTGCTTTACCGCATTTTAATACTGTATTGGGCATAAACCTGTAATTCTGCAATTAAAGCCCGAAACCCAATAAAAGGTTTCGTTGAATTATTTTTTGGGGGCAAACCCAGTGGAGATTTAAGGGTAATAAGACTGATGATTAAGACGATGTACAGAAGGCAATTAACTTTCGCCAGTGGGTCACCACTGGTAGGTGTTGGGTGTAAATTAGTACACTTTGTGGTGTACTGTGTGTTGTTTGTCACGATGTCAACTAACATTGAAAAAAAAATTCATCTGTTTCAGAGGAGAGACATGTCTTGACAGCTTATGGCTTTTTTCTGGTCGTAAGCGTGGCTAGTATGCAGATCAAGAGCTTTTGAAATCCCTTTTCCAAAGTAAAACTCTGGACTTGAGCTTAAAATATATATTGATCCAAGTGCATGACCAGCGGGATCAGCAGTAAGAATAAAGAAAAAATGCCAAAAAGGAAAATTAGTGTTTAAAAAAGAGACCAAACAGAAAAAAAAAAGTACAAAGAAACAGAAAACAGCGTCGCCGGGAGTCGACTCCGGTTTATCTGCAGGAGCAAGTAATTCCCTGACGACTGCACCACAATGACACACGTGATCTGAAAAATTAATTTTGTCATATCCAAACAATTTTTCTCTGCCATAGACGCTGTTTGAAGCTGGTGGAGCTGTATTTATCATGAATTCAAATATACGTTTGCGGAAAATTAGCTTAAGCGCGTATTTCAAAGCTATTTCGCATTATTTCGGGTACAACGGGCCGACTTGATGTAGATAATCGATCGAACTGGCTTTACTGAATTTGGTGGAGAATTAGGAGATCAACAGAGGCACACACTCGAAAGGAATGATATGAAGTTAGGCCCGTTTAATTAGCAAAAGAATCTAGATGAAATATAAACATGTGTGATCTGTGAATGGAACCTCCTATTCTGGAGACTAAACCTTGCCTATTTTAGAGAAAAAAAAATTAAGTTTTGATGACCTTGTCGGTCCCGTGAAATAGATGGCGATCCCGCAACACGGCCAGCAAAACAAATTAACAAAATTATACAATCATGGACACAAATATCAAAACAGTTTACACAAGGAGATTATAGCAACACCAAAGCTCACACACATTCGATCAAATAAGCGACATATAGCGATATTTGCTTGCTTCTTAGCTTTTCCTCGACCTCGCTCGTCCACATAACTGTCGTATCCCTTGCTAATTTGCACAAGCGACCCGAGCCTCTTGCTCGTTACTACGTGACGTCATACTGGCAAGCAGAGTGGGTCAAGAAACTTAGGTGGAAAACAATAGAGTTACCCCCCCCTTCTGTTTCGACAGCCAAATGACAAGTGAAATACAATTTGTTGAGCAAAACATTTGGCACAATTCAATGATAAGGATAAAATGACCGCCAAATTTTTTGCCCCGATTGGTTCCTGGCAAAGGGGTGACCAAAGTTAAACACTTAAAAGATAAATCGAATAATTTTCTAGTTGGAACAATTTTCAGACTTAAAATTAAAGAAAGAGCCCAAGTCTGTCCGTTCAAGTAATTGGGACTGATAACTTCAATAAAAGCCCTTTGGAACACTTGTCGAAACAGTGTTACAAAAAGTACTGTTTATGAAAGTTTCTCTTCTAAAATGAAAAAATTCCTTAGCAATCGACTAGTTTATTAGGCACTATTGTCTCAAAAATGTACTTCTCCTACCCGGAGTCAACATAAATAGATTATGGACTTGTGTTTTGAACAACAATATGAGCGTTCAACCCCTATGGTCTAAGGCAGTCACTATAACATCCTAATACACCAAAAGAACACGGGTGATGGAGTTCCAGTTTAAGTTTCTTTCTTTCTTTCATTCATTTATTTATTTGTTTTGTATTGTTTTTTTTTTTTTCCTTTTTTGTGTGTGACATAAAAAATCGTTAAAATAAATAAAAAAGAAAAAGGTTAAAAAATGATAATGATTTTGGTATTTCCTTCTTACGTCAGAGAGATTCGGAGAATTCAACACCACGCCCTCTTTGACGACCTCATCGTAATCTTGTAACAATGGAATCATTTCCACGTTTGTTTGTGCCTGCTCCTTCTTTACATTCTCACACACCATCTTATCCTCATCGTCATCTTGTATTATCGATATGAATTCCAGCATCATTTGTTTTTCGTCTTCTTTACCTGTCACCTTAGGGTGAAATAAAGAAAGATTTGAATGTTTTTTTACTTTACAACCACCGAGTATGCCTGGAAAAATGAATAATTTAAATTAATAAAAAATAATAATAACAATAATAAAAATAATAATGCCGATAACGATAAAAATAATAACAATAATCGTCATAATTTAAATAGCGCTTTTTCCCATAGATGCTCAAAAGTACGTTAACCCTATTCAGACTGGGGGCTTTTGAACCCCCTGCGGCAAAATCGTGATAACTCCTACACCGAAAGAGCTATGACGTTCAAATTTTCTGACTTTTCCTAAAATTTATCTAGGAACATTTTGGTATAATTACCATGTCCATGTGATTAATCATGTTGCCATGGCAACCAGTTTCTGACACATAGGTTTTGGAAAATCTAAAAAATGGTGATTTTTTTGTTTTAAGATCGCGTTTTTACACTTATAGTGCTTTTTGTTGTTAAAATGGTCTTTGCTTGAGACTAGTTTTTGAATTACATCAAAATGTTTCAACATCGAATATTTGGGGGAGGGTGGGGTAAAATTTGTCACTTTTTTTTTGCTTTGACAAATATGCTGCTCTATTTTCCAAATAACACTTCCAAAGTCATTTGTTTGGGTAATAAACATTAGTTTGATACTTCTTTTATACATTCTGAGCTTTTTCCCCTTTGAAAGTTGCTTTAAATTAAAATTTTAACAAAAAAACGGAAATCCAAGATGGCGGATCCAAGATGGCAGACAACCATTTCAAAATTTAAATTTTATTGCTTCCTATTGCTTTTTCTCGCTGTACAAGTGTTTCCTTGTTACTAGTTCATAAGAAAGGATAACAAAGAGATGACTTTACCAATATTATTGATATTTTATGTATCTAAGTGGAAAAATAATAAGAAACATTGAAAAATCGGAATATGACGTCACTGTGACGTCATCATTGGGCGTGGCAAGTCAAAACTAGGTGTGTGGTTTCTTTGTACGGAGATGATCATTGTGTGTAAATTTCATGACCCTAGCATTATTGGTTCCAGAGATACAGAGGGGGGGTCCGAGGAGCCCCCCCAAGTCACAGATTGACCAAAAAAGCCCAGTCTGAATAGGGTTAAGGCATGTTACATAGTTAAGTTTGTAAAACCCAAAACAATTTGGGCCAAATATTTAAGCGTAGTTTAGCCAGTGTTAAACAAAACCGCGTTCTAAGTCATTTTCAATTTGCCCAACGATTTTATCTAACCATCATTTATTGTGAACAGTTTTATGAAAGCGTAAAGCATATAGAGAAGACTAGACAAGCATTTATCTTCTTAAAACAACCCACCAAAGAAGAGATCTGGAGGTTCAAAGATTCGTTAAACCGCGTGTAAGATCCAAGTGTAGCATTTTTTCTATTATTCGTTTTTGCGTCATTTGTTTTTCGTTTGCGTACGCTAATTAGTTTATACTTCTTTTCGTCCTTTTGTTTGGTTTGTTTTTCGTAAATTTTGGTGTTTATTCCTTTCTGTCAATTTTCGCCCCCTCGTTACCGTTTCTTTGCTGTTTCATCATTAGCTCCTTTCTAAGTTTCTATAGTTTTATTTTCCGCATGTTTTAGCGTATTTTTCATGTCGTAGTTTTGCAGTACAGTTTGTACAGTTTATTTTGGTCCTCACTAAGCGCAGTTCTGTTTACAGTTCTTGCAGGTCTCTTCGCGTTATTCGTAGTCCGCTTCACAGCAGTTTTCTCTGGCCGAAATAATGTAAGTGTACTTCACAGTCCTCGTTTGTGCAGTTTTTGTTATTCAGCCTACATTCTGATTTTCCTTAGTCGCAAGAAATTGTATACGTTTTTGCTCTTTTACTGTTTTAGTTTCAACCCACGCCGTTTGTATCCACACTCTTTGTACCACGCATTTTATTTCAAGTACCACTTAAGCACGTCGGTTACAATAAATCTTCATTCGAATATGGTTTGTGGTGTTGTTATTAAAGGCCAAGAGACTTTCACGCTTATTGCAGTTTCACCGCTGCTTAAGTTAGACTTCCTTTAAGTATTTGGGCCTTATTGTCTAGTTAATCTTTGAAAGTCTCAGACTTGAAAGTCACAAAGTGGTGAGAACAAGTGAAAATCCTAAATTGTACAGAATGAAAAAAGATATAGTCAAATATTAAGAAACTGAACAAAAGGTATATGTCATGAAAGATATTAATCATCGTAAATAATGTGTATAAAGGGTTTAGTTTATCGTTTATGTCACGATTGTCACTTTGATTTTGATGACGACGTTTCGACCGCACACTGCAGGTCAGTTCATCAGGCGATAGTGTCGATTGACTGAGTCGGACTATTTTTACCACCGTAGTTGTTAGTGATTGGTGTATCACCAACCTCACTCATGGTTTGTGGGTTTCGATCCAAAGCATTGTTGGATAGAATGTTATTTGTCGTTTGATGATAGCCTGGCTAATGTTGCACTCGAAAATGTCATGCCATAATCGTTGTCTTAGCTAAGCTCTTACATTTATGTGCATAACTAGATGATTGAAAGAAAGGCCAAAAGGAAGGGTGCTGTAGGGTAGAGATGCATGCGAAAATGGTCTTTATATGGCACTCAAAAAACTGCCCACATCTGTCCGCAAAAACCGTTTTGTTGTCCTTTTAGACATGTTTCTTAGTGGTATCAAAGCATGTGATTATTTTACACCTACTTGATGTTTGGCGGCCCCTTCATCTTTCAAATCTTCTTTGTTGTCGTATATTTTCTTGGAGGCTTGGTGAATGTAGACCTAAAAATTCACCCACATCAAAAAATGAGTACATCTCGCTCTTGTGGTTTGCAATTGCCCGCACTCATGCTACTTGTAGCGTCATATTCTGTTCTCGTGGCAACAAACGTACATAAATGTGTCCAAGCTTATTGACCTTATTCTACAATAGGTGAGAAAAGTATCTGACACACTAGTCTAAAACGGGCGTTTTTTTCAACAGTTTCATTCATTCATTCATTCATTCATTCATCACATAAATGTAGATGGTCGCTCGATTTATAAGTAATCCAGTAAATTTATAAGTTTGTAATCCTATTTGATCACTGAAGAGCCCCAGATGGGGATGTGTTCAATAAATGTATGCGTGTATGACTGTTGTCCAAAGTTGAAGAAAGATTTGAGGGTTTAAAATGCAGCATTGAGGGAGGGTTGGGGTACTGGAGATTGTCCGCTATGGAAAAAAGAGCCATTTTATAAAAGTATCTCAACACTCCAATAATGTCCCTCATTATAGCTCCAAAACGTTCAGAAACGAAAACTTGAAGCTAGAAACCCAGTTTTGGAAATTACGTTTTGTATGCAACTATGTATGTGTGTGTGTGTTTTTTTTTGTTGTTGTTGTTGTTTTTTTTTTTAAGTGCGGAAATGTGGTAATCTAGATTTAACACTTGATTTATTTACTGATTCTTTTTGTTTTCTTTTCAGTGTCGCTTGTTTAAAGTAAATTGATTTTTTTTTTCTCATTTCCTTACCTTTTTCCTTACACAACGTAGCCACGTTAGCAGGTCTCCAAACGGAACATACTCGATCACTAGAAACTTCTCATCCTGAAGCGTGCAGCATCCAACGAAGGAAACGACATTCGGATGTGATCCCAACAGCTTCATCTGCTCGATCTCAAACTTGAACTCTTCTTTCTGCTCTGCACTAGGATTATCTAAACATTTTCAAATAAGTTAGCGGTCCTTGTTGTTTAATTCGACGTGACTTAATATACCCATGCACAGTTGAAGCAATGTTAAGGGCGGAGTCATGATTGTTCATCTTATGATTAAATGAGCCTTTTGCAAGCCAAGAACGTGAATTATGATAAGATTGTTTAGAAACCGCGTGGCTATAGATCGTTTAATCGTAATCAGTGACAACTTCTAAACGTTGTGCGTCAAAATAAGCACCAGGTCCTGGCCTTTGACTTAGAAATGAAGATTAGTCTTTAAGAAATTGAGTGGTTCTCTTATTGCATCCAGGCGTATGCAGAGGGCCTCCCGGGGGGGGGGTGGGGGGTGCATGTTCTTTTGTTCTCTATAAAAATTTACAGTTTTCCCCTTGTTCCTCAAAAAAAAATTAAGGTGTTCCCAGAAATTCACTTTACTGAGTTCCCACGTTCCCAGAAATTGTGCTCCATGTTCCCTTTTTCCTAAAAATAATTCCTCACTGTTCCCCACAATTTCTCTCATGTTTCGTTTTCATTTTCGCCTGTTAGAAAGAGGCTACCCTGCCACTTTTTTTAGAAAGTACCTCACTCAGGTAAAATTTCACCCCGGGCCAGCTGTCATCAAAAAGTGATCTCTTTCAAACTAGTTTTTTAATTTTTAACCGTTTGAGCTGAGACTTTGCACGATAATAGAACTTTGCATTCCCAACAATCGCATGTTTTTGGATTTTTTATTTTAACGGTTTTTGGCGCGAAAATGACGTCATAAGATTGACAGCAAAAAGTAGTTTTCGACTTATGGCGTAAAAAACTGGAACTTTTAAAAGAACTTACAGAGATGAACTCAAATGTGAAAAAAGTATTTGTAAAGGTTGAAAAGTTATTGAGCTGTGAATTTCGTATTTTCCGCCATTTTGTTACTATTTCTAGAAATTTGGTGATCTTTAGAATGTCATATCTTCTTAACCAAATGAGGTTTTCAAAAACTTTTTTCACATTCAAGTTCTTCTGTGAGTACTCTTTCAAAATTGCTAACCTGTTATGGCATAAGTTGAAACTTATATTTTGTTGTCAATCTTGTGACGTCTTTTTCGCGCCAAAAACCGTTAAAATAAAAAATCCAAAAACATACGATTGTTGGGAAAACAAAGTTCTATTATCGTGCAAAGTCTCAGCTCAAACGGTTAAAAATTGAAAAACTAGTTTGAAAGAGATCACTTTTTGATGACAGCTGACCCGGCGTGTTTGCCGACAACAAAACAGCCCTACAACAGAGAAACAAATCCGCGCGTAAAAAAACTTCTGCCTTTTGTTACACAATACCACCCGGCTTTACCTAGCCTGAAGAGAATACTTATGGGGAAATGGCATTTTGCACAAAACCAACAACGGCTAAGTGAAATCTTTAAGAAGCCTCCCCTCATATCTTATCTCAAGGGAAAATCTCTTAATTAAGGACCTATTGGTTAGCTTATAGAGCGAACCTCTAAAGGTCACAACTTCCAATACGGCTTATAAGTGCAGGAGTCGTGTGATACCCGTCGCTTATTTTTAACCATATTTTATTTTTATTTTCCCCAGTTCTTCTGCGGAGAACAAAATACATGATTAGTCCCCAGGGTATGAAAAATGAAAGAAATTATAATATTTTGTCGTCGGAAAGCCAATTTTTCCTCTTACACATTAATATTGTAACATATTTTGACAAAATTCAGAAAATTTACAAGAAGGCAGCAGGAAGAGTGAACCTCTTACGGCGTATCCGTTCCAGCATTGATACTCTTAGTGCCCAGCGAATTTACCAATCGATGATTATGTCAATATTTACGTATTGCGGCTATACTAGTCTTGCATGGTCAGAATCCCGCACAAGTATGATCCACTGCATTGAGAAACGAAGCCTCGAAATCATTTCCCCGAAATGCAGTCGGAAGAACTGCGATCTTCGATTTTTAATAATTGACAAATACGTTTTGCAAAAGAAAGCGTTCTGTTTTGTGTTTGACTGCCTCTAAGAATGGAAATGCATGTTTCCCATTTAGGAACTACTTTCAACGATTTCAACATAATTCTGTAAACACTAGAAACAATGGGAAGGCAGCAAAACTGCCTAAGGTGAAACTGGAGTTTACGCGCCGTAGTTTTTATTTTTTAGGCGCCTCGATCGATTCACTGCCATTAAGTTTAAGAATCATTACTCCTAAAGTTTTATTTAGGAAAGCCTTGGACGTAACTTTTAATTGTAGTTTTAAACGGTTTTTTAACTTAGTGCTTGTTTGCTTTTTATATTTTTTGGGTATTCTTTAGTACTTCTTATTACTTGTAACTTTTTGGAAATCAATGTTCCCTTGTTCCCTAAAGGTTACTAGTTTTAAGATATCCCAGCTCTTTCCCTAAAAGTAAAAGGCCATGTTCCCTTGTTCTCTAAAGCTTTGGAAGGCCCTCTATGTAAGTAACCGATACTGAGAAACTGTCTTTAACCTTGTAGTATATATTGAATATACCGATGCTAGAGTATTGTTATTCATCGACCTAAATCCCCCGGTTAACTGTATTTAGTATATACTAAAACAGTGGATAGTGTTTTCTGCGCGCTCTGATTGGCTACTCAATCAGTGAATATCCAGTGCTATTCACTGATTCACCTCCAGTTCCTCCGAGCGAGCGACGCCAAACTCGCTAAGTTACGAGCAAAATGGCTTCCCGGTTTGCTGCCGTAACAAACAAAGAAATTTCACAAATAATCAAACAAGCTGTTCCCGAAATAAGCGAAGAAGGTGACGAATTCAGTTTGGAAGTTTTAACAGGTAAATCTTTGTCTGTTTGACTTGAATTTATCGATGAAACCGGTGAAAAGTTTTTTGTTTACAAATGCAAATTAAAAATGCCTGTTAAATTAAGAGAGACATGAAAAAACCGCTTAAAACTTTAAAGGAAGGTTTGAATAACACAACAGAAACAACAGATGCCACCGATGGGCAAAACTGAAGAAGATTGAAACGGATTGAAATTAGGGTTTTTGAAAACTGTTCAGCCTAACAGTTTTTCAAAGTTGATCCCTGCTGCTTGCAATTTCAAAAATAATGCTCAGGAGACATATTTGTTTGTCTCGGATCTCTGATTTTGTCATTTACATGTAATTTCTTTCCTTACTTCTTAAGTTCCATAGCGATTGAGGGCGAGTAATTGGCAAAATTAAACAAAATGAACTGGACTGCCATGACACAGCCCTTTTAAGCTCAACTCTTGCGTTTAAAATAAATTTAATAGTTTTTTTTTTTTTTACAGAATTTTTTAAATACAAAGATAATTCATAACTCCTTTTTGGTGGATTTCGATCCATTTTGTGTGTTTCTGTGTTTCAAGGTTCGTTGCTTGTGAACAGATTGAGGGCAGCGAAAAACGCAATTGTGAAGGCGGCTTATGAACTTAAGAGTTCGCATGTTTCTGAAAAGCGCAGTAAAAAGATCACAAATTTTGTTGTAGTTATGATTGGTTGGTAACAACTTGGTGTCGTCCAATTCGATCTGTAATCACCGTGATGAAACAAATCAGACTCTCGCCACACGGTCATCCGATTTTGTTTTATCACTCGTATGACTAGACCGAATTGGACTCCACCCAGTCCTATTACCATTACTTATCGTACCATGTAAGACCTTTACAGCGACCACCTTAGGCTCCTTCTTGCTGGATAACAAAGTCCGTTTGGAAACCTCCTTGTTAAACACCTCTATCCCAATCCTTTCCCTAAGGATTGCTTTGTGAACCACACAAACGCTCCTCGCCCCAGTTCCCCTTCATATTCTATTTGCTCGCGAAGAATTTCCCACTCGTCGAGGGGATAGATCACTCGCTGTAAAAGATGCAATATGCAAAAATAAAGGAGTTGAAATGCTCTTTCGCCCCATTTAAGGTTGTCTGGATTCCGGATTCCTTGACTTTGGAATCCGGAATTCAGCTCAAGTAATCCGAAACCTCGATAACGATTGAAATCCGAAACCCACATTCCACTGACAACTAATCCAGAATCCATTAGTCCTGGATTCCTGGAATTCACGGCGTTCAATCCAGGATCCAAGACTGTCTTGAATTACCTTGATATACGTGGGGTGAATTCGACAAGTCATTGGTTACAAAGTTAAACAAGTCTTCATACGTTCAAGTTACCATTATTTCTGTGAATAGCTAATCTGCTATTAAGATGTACAGTCACACAGCTGCTGGTACATGAAAGTGTTGAACTTTTCCCCCTTTCGTGGTTCCTACGTGCGGGAATTCGAGTTTCACACAGTAAACTAGTAAACAGGATTATAAAAATAAATTATGCGCACAATTTGCATGTGAAGATGTTGGACTTTGCCCCTTTACTGATTTGTACTTAAAGAATGCAAATTGTTCACAAGATTAAGGCCTTTCATGAGACGAACCAATCTTGGGTCGACCTAAATGAAGTTAAGATAGTCCGCTGTGCCAGTAGAATCGCAGGTGACTTTGACAGACTTTTAAGTCTACCCGTATTGTCTACAAATGACCCGGGTAGACTAATTGCAAGTTCATTATCAGCTTTCATTTCTAAAATACTTAATCCACGAGTTAGCCATAGACACCATTAGTTTTTTTGCAATTACCTTACAGTAGTGTGTGATAAAACATAGGCGTCGTAGTTAATGTATTTTTTTATGCTACAAGAACGTAGAAATCTACAAACCCATCAGCTATCTTTCGTCTTTTCTTCCTGTAGCACCAGACGAAAATAGCAGCAGACGAAGACAACAGCAAAGCGATGACAAAACCGACAAATATGTAACCAACCTTACTTTTTGGACTGTTAACTATGGATGAAGAAAATAATAAGAACAAATATCTTATTTAACTGGTTTTGGTAAGAAAAGTGACGTCACAAGATTGACAGCACAATTTAAGTTTGGTTAAGAAAATCATTATGAGTTTTTCTTAAAGGGACTATGTCAGCTGGAGAGCATGCGCGCTGAGGTTAGGCAAATTACA